TATAAAATACATCATACTATAGTGTATGTCATGAAAATTTGTAAAATACATCATACTATAGTGTGTCATGAAAATTTATAAAATACATCATACTATAGTGTGTCATGAAAATCTATAAAATACATCATACTATAGTGTATGATCATGAAAAAGGTATAAAATATATCATACTAGACTGTGTCATGAAACCATTTGAAATACATCATATTATAGTTTGTAATGAAAAGTATAAAATATATCACACTATAGTGTTTAATGAAACGTTATAAAATACATCATACTATAGTGTATGTCATGAAAAATTTATAAAATCTATCATACTATAGTGTCATAAAAACCTTTCTAAATGATCATACTCTACTTTGTCATGAAACGTGTCAAATGCATCTTATGTGTCATGAAAAGCTATAATACATCATACTATAGTGTATGTCATGAATAATGTATAAAATACATCATACTATAGTGTGTCATGAATATCTATCAAATACATCATACTATACTGTGTCATGAAAATCTATAAAATACATCATACATCATACTATAGTGTGTCATGAAAATCTATAAAATACATCATACTATAGTGTGTCATGAAAATTTATAAAATACTTCATACTACAGTGTGTCATGAATATCTATCAAATACATCATACTATAGTGTGTCATGAAAATCTATAAAATACATCATACATCATACTATAGTGTGTCATGAAAATCTATAAAATACATCATACTATAGTGTGTCATGAAAATCTATAAAATACATCATACATCATACTATAGTGTGTCATGAAAATCTATAAAATACATCATACTATAGTGTGTCATGAAAATTTATAAAATACATCATACTATAGTGTATGTCATGACAAATTTATAAAATACATCATACTATAGTGTGTCATGAAAATCTATAAAATACATTATACTATAGTGTGTCATGAAAATCTATAAAATACATCATACTATAGTGTGTCATGAAAATTTATAAAATACATCATACTATAGTGTGTCATGAAAATTTATAAAATACATCATACTATAGCGTGTCATGAAAATGTATAAAATACAATATACTATAGTGTATGTCATGAAAAATTTATAAAATACATCATACTATAGTGTGTCACGAAAATATATAAAATACTTCATACTATAGTGTGTCATGAAAATTTATAAAATACATCATACTATAGTGTGTCATGAACATCTATAAAATACATCATACTATAGTGTGTCATGAAAATCTATAAAATACATCACACTATAATAACATCCTGATAATAACTTTTTGGTTTCCTTGACTTTTGATGTGCTACTACTAGTTTATCCGTTTAATTATAGATCCACTAGGATAAATACAATAAAGTTTATCTCTCACCAAATAGAATATTTACTAAGACATCATAATATAACTGTAGACACAGTACTTGTGTGTGTGTGTGTGTGTGTGTGTGTGTGTGTGTGTGTGTGTGTGTGTGTGTGTGTGCGTGCGCGCGCGCGTGCGTGCGTGCGTGTGTGTGTGTGTGTGTGTGTGTGCTCTGTCTTCTCGATCCCCAGTGAGTCGTGGAGGATGGCTGCTTATACTGAGCTAGGATTCTCTGGAGGTTTCTTCCTGTTAAAAGGGAGATTTCCTCTCCACTGTCGCTTTATGCTTGCTTGGTATGAGGATTGGTGTATAGTTAGGGTCAGTCACTAGTCAGTGGCTTGATGCAATTTGCTGGGTTCCTTATATAGGAAACATTATTTCTGATTGGCTTAATGAACTGACCTGAATTGGAATTTTTATTATGTGAAGTGCCTTGAGACGACTCTTGTCGTGATTTGGCGCTTTATAAATAAACTTGAATTGAATTGAATTGAACTATAGTATGTCATAAAAATCTATAAAATACATCATACTATAGTGTGTCTTGAAAAGGTATAAAATACACCATACTAGACTGTGTCATGAAACCATTTGAAATACATCATATTATAGTTTGTAATGAAAAAGTATAAAATATATCATACTATAATGTTTAATGAAATGTTTTAAAATACATCATACTATCTGAGATGCTGAGGACAGTAAAGATGGAACAGTTGATTTAAAAGATGCAACTGCGTTGTCAGATAGAGACCGACTATAATGAAATTTACTTTCATGTCTCGAGAACTCAGTTATAAAAAACTCAAAGGTTATCAGAAAGTGGTCCGAGAAGACTGGATTATGTGGAAAGATTGTTATTTCCTCACACTCTATGCCATAAGTCAGCACAAGGTCCAATGTATGATGGCAGGAGTGGGTGGAGCTATGTATTCTTTGAGTAAAACCCATTGAGTCTAAGATATTACTAAAGACTACATTGAGGCAATCATTTTCAATGTCCAAACTCCAAATCATGACAGAGTGGTCTCAAGGACCTTCACACAGTAAACATTCCAGTACAGGTCAGGTCATCAAGCCAATCAGCAATCAGTAAAGTTTCCTAAATAAGGAACCCAGCAGGTTGCATCGAGTCACTGACTAGTGTCCAAGTCTTTACAGCAATCCTCAAAAACAAGTTAAAGTCTTCTGGTTAAACTTTCAAAGATCAATCAGATTGATATTTCATATTTATATGTAATCATCACATCTTATTGATCATTTAAAACATGTGTAGCCACTCCTTAACGCTGCAGCAGGAAGAAGTTTGTTGTCCAGTCCGAGTTTTATGTTGCTGTGACTTTTTACTCGAATCATCCACAAGTAAAGCATGAAGGTGAACAGGTGAAGTCATGCAGTGCCTCGTTAAAATCATGTTTATAAGTGGAATGAGAGGAGAAAACAAATTCAGTGAATCAATGCGTGTGTGTCAGAGTGTTAACACTGCCTTGAAATGGGGCTCTCATTGGTTTACATGGGGGGGCGGGGCTTACAACTTGTTCTGGAACCAGCCACTAGGGGCATTTGTTTTGGCTCCAGTTCCTTTTCATGGTTCCTACCCAGTGTCGTACTTCTGTTTCTGTCCAACCTCTGAGATCACTTAAAAAGGGAGGGGGAGTCTTGGAGGTCAGAGGTCACACTTACATGGACAAGCACCATCTTACATTGGGGATCTTCTTAGTCCCTACACCCCCAGCCGGTCCCTGAGGTCCAGCGATCAAAGCCTACTGGTTGTGCAGCACCAGGCTAAAGACCAAAGGTGACAGATCATCTGCTGCTGTGGCCCCCAGACTCTGGACCTCTCTCCCCCTGAGCCTGAGACCAGTGGACTCAGTGGTCTCCTTTAAACTCACCTGTTCAGGCTTTGGTGGGACCTTCATCACCTCCCTCTCCTTGTTCTGCTCTCCCCAACTAGTCCACCTTCCCAGGATTCCCTGATTTCCCTTTTTCCTACTCACTCTCTCTCTTCCTTAGCAATTTTTAATCACAATTGTCTATTTTAGCTTATTTTAAACATTTTGAATCATTTTTGAAAATCTTTTTTATATTTGTAATTTGTTGTTTTTGTGAAGCGCCTCCTGGTTTTTAAAAGATGGTTTTCTTTCTTACACCGGTTCCTTTGTGTCTCATAGACAGAACCATCCTTAGTTAGAGCCCAGAGCGGTGCTGGTCGGAGCCGGACCTGAGCACCTATAAACACGTCTGATCTTCATGTGTCACTCCCACAGCTTTACTTTAGTTGGTTTAACTGCCCTCAAAGAGCAGCAACAAGTCCCGACGGTCCTGGGAATCTCTTCAGATCCTCCTGACTGCCCAGTAAGTGACCTGTTTCCTTGGGCACGCCACACCCACCCCCATCCCCGGGGTAGGGAGGCTGCATGTCACACCCTGGTGATGATCATGACGATGGGTGTAACTGTGAACTCAGTCTAACACGACCTCCTTCACCCACACACACACACACACACACACACACACACACACACACACACACTCACGCACACACATGCACACACACACACACATACACACACACACACACACACAGGATGCCTTCAGCATCAGACTGATGTCATCTCGTTTCCAGCTGTTTGACGTGATTACATTGTGTTTGTTGCACCTACAGGAGTTCTCCCTCTGTTTACTTGAGTCGGTTCTTTTATTCTCTAAACTGTGAGATTAACGACTTTAGTATAGCTGAGGATCTGCAAACCCGTCAAACCCGATCCACGCTCTTATGAAACCCTGAAAGCCCTGCGGCGCTGCCTCAGCCCGTGATAAGGAGGCTTTTATTGTGAAAAGAAAAACATTGACTTTTAATGAATGAAAAATGAAAGACCTGTGACCTGAAACATTCTCCACGGGAGAGTTCAGGTCTTCTTTGTTCTGTTATGTTTGATCGTCTTTGTTCCTGAGCACAAAGAGACGCTCCAAGGAAGTTTGCAGGAATTCCGGGCATCCTGAGCCAAGAACAGAGACCTGAAACTCATTGGACATGATCATCGACAAAAGGATGAAGAGTAAACTTAGACAGTTACACCTCTGGAGGACCACCCCTTCATCAGGTGTTGAAGGATCTCAGGAGCTCTTTTAGTGGTCGAATGTTAACGCTCCGTTGTTCCACGGAACGTTTTAGGAACTCTTTTATTCCTGCTGCCGTGCGTTTTTACAGCGAGCATTTTGGATGATCGTAAATCTGATGTTTCTATCATGGTTGTGCCTTACAGCAGGGTCCAGTGAATGTTTTATTATTCTGTTTTATTTTTGTTGTTTGTGCGTGTACGTTGTTGTTGTTGTTGTTTTTACTTGTCCAAGGCAAGTCAGTTTTCCCCTTGGGGATTAATAAAGCCAGCCTTGAACCTTGAAACCGTTACTGCCCTTTAGAACGAGGAAGAGGGGGCTGATCCTGACAGGGGAGGGGCTAAAGAGGGTGTTTTTGAGGGTGGAGGAGTCATGTGGGTGGACTAAAGGGGAATGGGCGTTCCTGTTAAGATGGAGGTGCCAAGGTGGGCTTTCCAGAGAAAGAAAGTTCCTGAGAAGGCAGAGTCCGACAGGGGAGGGGCTAAAGAGGCTGATTCTGACAGGGGGAGGGGCTGAGGAGGAGTTTACTGGACCTTCTGTACATAAAAGCAGGAACAACTCCCAGCTGATCAGAGATGTTTCTCCATCCAGCTGAGACCGATCTGTGACGCATGCAGGAGTTCTACCAGGACGCTGAGGTAGGAGCAGATTTCTCTCTGATGAAAATCAGAACTTTTCCCGTGTAGAGAGCGATGTGAGGGAGTTTGTTTGTGTCTGAGCTGAACTGCGGTTTCTTTCCTTCCTCTGAGAGCTGAGTTGACTCCAGAGGTGAGGAAACGATCCACAGCCAACGCCCACAGATAGTCGACATTCCTCCCGGTCACCTTTGACCACAGTTGTTGCTCGAGGACATGAGGAGGCGCTGAACAAGTCTGAACAGAGGAGGTTCTGATCCGACCCGAGACTTTCCACTGCAGCGGAGATCATGGTTTCAGTCTGAGTTTCTCAGGTGGCTTCAGGAGGTAAACCCTGGATCAGGTCCAGGTGCTTCGGATCAGCTGGTGGTTCTGAATCTCAGAGTTTTGGCTCGTTTGAAGCTGTGGTTCCTTCAGACATCCTGCAACACGTCAGAGCTTCAGACACACCTCAGGCCATAAATCATTCTGTAGGTTATGGATCTGTCACAGTTATGGGACCTGGATCCTCCGGATTACTAGAGCTGAGATTAACGGTTCACAGGAAATTAGCCTCAGATTAAACCTTCAGGTTTAAACCCGAACTTCTCCTGGAGACACAGACGAGGCGCTCGGAGGAAACGGAAACTCACGAAACCTCCTTCAGCCTTTGGAAGTTCCGATGAGGTTCTGGTTCTGATGAAACCTCCTTCAGCCTTTGGAAGTTCTGATGAGGTTCCAGTGAGGTTCTGGTTCTGCTGAAACCTCCTTCAGCATATCATGCTTCAAACTCCAGACAGATGGACTCACCTCAGACTTCGGAGGAACCAACAGGATTCCCGTTTGGGGGCAGGAGCGGCGTTCCGTCCATGCAGGTCATAAAGTGACTTTTATGGGATGAGCAAACCGACACGGAGCCATAAACACAAAGTAAACGCCGAAGAGCTCCAGAAACATTCAAACATTTACAAAGTGGGAGCTAAACGACATCAGCTGATCGATCAGAACCGCTGCTGCTGGACGAACACAAAAGTCCAGCTGGTTCTGCCGGGTCCAAGTCCGAGCTGTAAATCTGCTCTCAGGTGTTTGTTTTGGACTGAAACACGGCTGCTGTGCATCACACCAGGACTTCCACATCTTCTGACACTAATCACACCGATTCTGCGTTTGCTGCTTGTGACCTTTGACCTGCTGAATCATGGAAAATGTTATCAGAGAAGCAGGAATGTTGTAGTTTTCCCTCCAGATGAACCAGCTTTGTATTTTTTTTCTTTTGTCCTGACCTGTTTGCTTCTCTTATTTTACTGGATTTTGTGTCTTTAGGAGACATTTTAGTCTTTTAAAATCGAGCGAAAATCAAACCTGAGATCTGCTGAATCAGAATCATCAAAACTGTCAAACGTGATAAAATGAGAAAGAGGAATCAGAGTAAAGCTGCTTCCTGTCTTTCTTCAGGTGGTTTCAGATCTGCCTCCAGCTGAAGTCCAGCTGACGCCTGCAGAGCTCACAGGTAAGACTCACAAGTTCAGCTCTGGCTCCGTGTTTCTGATCCTGACGTGTAGATGAGGTCTAGTGTGACGCGGGTGAGGTTGGAAGTCCCTGCAGAAGGAACTGGGTCCGCCTGCTCTTGCATCACTGATTTCTGTTTGCACACCAAGCATCCGGCTCCTCCAGTTTAACATCATCTTGTACCAAAACAAATACAAGATGGCTTCCTCTTCAGCACTTCCTCGGACCACACCACCACACTAGCAACACACATTCCTGAGGAGAACAACTGAAACTTTACTCATACAGTATTTGTCTTTTTGCGTGGTACATCCGTGTGAATCATGAACACTTCTTCTCTGCAGGCTCTAACCTTCGCTGCTCCAAGCACACGGTCCAGCCTCCCGCTGGTTCCTGAAGCGGGAAAACCAGAAACATCCAAGGATCAAAGTCTTCCACAGAAGGTTAAACAAATGTATGCTTTCTATGTTATAAAGTTGTGTTTGTTTATCAGTCAGTGAGCCCCAGGGCAGCTGTGGCTACCTGTAGCGCATCACCACCAGAGTGGATGAATGACTGTGGTGTAAAGAGCTTTGGAGTCCTCTGACCCGGAAAGGCACCAGTGCAGGTCACTGTGTGGGAGTAGACTTTCAACATGGGCAGATGGATGGATGGACAGATCCATCCGATCAGTCATCAATCACACACAGGCTGATGTGGCAGAGGAGTTAGGTGTGTGCTCTGCAGTCGGGAGGTTGCAGGTTCGAGTCCCACTCTGTCGGTTGCTGTTGTTGTATCCTTGGGCAGCAGCAGCCCCAGGGTTCCTACACCTTTCCCACATCAAATGCAAGTGCCGCACTTGTGAGACACAACAATACGAGAAGAGGACAGTTTTGTGTCATATGAAATACTCGACAACTGTTGTGAACAGAGAAGATCCAATCGGATCACGGGATCAGGAACCGGGCTCGATCACGTGATTTTAAATGATTGGAATCTGGTGGATGAGATCAGATATGACCTTTCAAATTAATCCAGAGATCCAGATTATCTTCAGCTTGAGCCTGTCTGCATTTAGTCCTAGTCTGTCACTTTGAACCAAACAGCCACTTTTCTGCAGCAACTCGGACAAAAACACCAAGTCAGCTGAAACTTTGTTCATTTGTTTATTTAAGGATCGCCGTCACCGTAGTGAGGAATGTTCTTCCAGGGGTCCGCTCCACTCAAAATAAAAGCATGTACATTATTACAGTGTAAGATAAAAAGAGCAAAAAAAACATTTAAAACAGACGTATCAGTTAATAAAACAAAGTAAAATAAATATTAAAACACTAAAAATAAAATAAATCAACGGAGAAACCAACAGATACGTCACAAATTCCTTCAAATCGATTAGAGTAACAAGATCTTTTCTCTAGTTTCAAATCTTTATGTATGACCAGTTTCTTAAGATTTGCTTTGAACCTGCTGTGATCATTTATTAAAGTTATTTCAGGAGGCGGGGTATTCCATATAAAACTGCTCTGTAAACGACTGTAATGGAGAGTAAAGGTGACACGGGAGGCTGTCGTCGGGTTGAAGCCATGTTGCATACAGGTCAGCAGGTCTGTGAAAAAGCTAAAAGCGTTTTGAAAAGTCCAAATTTTGAGCAAGGACAGAACCCGGCTACAAGCTGGTCTGTCATTTACCTTCATCCATGACAGACTATGATGCATCCATTGGCTCTAAATGGAAAACCGGGCCTTTCAGGTAACTTCACACAGTAAACGTTCCAATTGAGTTCAGCTCATTATGCAACTTAGTTTAACGTTTCCTATATGACTTTAGAAGGTGCTATATCAAATACAGGCCCTTTACCGGACTATCGCATCCATCTACATATGAAAAAAAACTGTGATCATGCAAAATTTATAAACATTTCAATTTCATTTCATTTCTTTATAAAGCACCTTAATGCCACCAGCCAAGAGCAGTACATGATAACATCATAGATCATATACATTAAAATTAGAGACAACAATAAGACCACACTAAAAATGGATGTCATAAGACTTAAAAAGCAATAAAAACAATTAAATCTAAATGCACATAATGCCTACAAACAATAAAAAATATAAAAACAATCCAAGAATATTACCAGAAAAATAATAAAACCAAAAGAGTATCAAATTTACTAGATTTGTAATATTGCTTAAATTAAGCTTTAAAACTCCAGACAGTAGATAATTATTATTAACTCATTCACTGCCAATGACGACTAAGGTCGTGATTTACATGTTTTTACTGTGTGGGCGTCGGACGAGCCCCCACACCGTGAGAACAAACATCTCAGCTCTAAAGCTGATCTTCATCCGCATGCGTCACACGTCACGTGATCAGGAAGCGGAACATCCATGTGTTAGGAGATCGTTTTGGGCCGCTGCTGCAAAAGAAAAGAGAGGCGCGAACCGGAAAAGCTTCTGCCGATCACAATTCAACAACGGATTATGAAAGAAAGGATAACGCTCGAAACACACGGATTCTTCCTGATCTAAGAGGCAAGTCTCCACTTTGTTTTGGCTTTGACATCATCCTAGCGCGCAACGTTCTGACTCTTAAAAAAACTGTAAAAACGGTGAGAAACACTGGCAGCGAAGGGCTTTACCGCTCAGGAAATGGCTGGCAGCGAATGAGTTAATATTTGGTGGGAGTTTGTTCCACAGTCTTGGTATCAGTATTGCAAAGGCGTGCTCCCCTCGAAACCTGCAGTTAAACCTAGGCTCAACCAATAAGTCCTTCTCTGCAGAGTGGAGAGGTCGAGTAGGAACCTACCTTATTAAAAGCTCTGCAAGATAAGGTGGTGCTGTTCTGGCAAGCCCCTGGAAAACATAAATCAGGAGTTTCATTTCGATGCTATGCTTCACAGGCAACCACAAAAATATCAGACAGAAAAACTGGTGGTGAATTATTTAGAAACCATAATTTAAGTGGCTGTTTGTTTTGAACTTGCTCTTTAGATCAAGATGGAGTCCATCCGTCACAACTCTGAGGTAAAAGCCAATGACGGTGTTGAAGTACATGGTCCTGTGGCAGGAATACTCCTGGAGAAGACCAGGGAGAAGTTGACCATCTATCAGGCCATGAAGAAACGTTTACTAAAACCAGGAACGGCCTTGGCTCTGCTTGAAGCACAAGCTGCCACGGTAGGCATCATTGATCCGACAAACAACAGGATACTTCCTGTTGCTGATGCTGTTCAAAACGTAGTAGTCGGACAAGAGATGAGGGAAAAACTCCTCAAAGCAGAGAAGGCTGTTAGTGGGTATGTAGACCCCTACACCAATCAAATAATATCTGTTTACCAGGCTATGCAGAAAGACCTAATCCCTAGAGATTATGGTTTGAGGCTGCTGGAAGCACAGATTGCCACCAAGGGTATATTTGATCCTGTTGAGAAGACACACCTCTCAGTTGACTCTGCAATCCAAAAGGGCTTCTATGAAAAAGGTTTGCTCAGTGACCAAATGCCAGAGCTAAACGTGTTCTATAACCCAAGCACACAGGAGAACCTGAACTACCAAAACCTTCTGAAGAAATGTACCGTGGAGACTGAGACAGGCTTGTTGCTCCTACCGGTCTGCATCGCCTTCAAAGGTCTGCGTAAAGGCATTTCGTCCAGTGAACTGTTTGAGTCAAAAATCATTGACAAAAAAGTCTATGATGACCTGCAGAAGGGAAACACCACAACACAGGATGTGATGCTGATGGAAACAGTGAAGGAGTACCTGGAAGGTAAAGGCAGCATTGCCGGTATTGCTGTACTCTCATGCAATCAGCAAAAGAGCATTTATCAGGCAATGAAGGAAGGCATCCTGATGCCAGGAACAGCACTTGTCCTGTTGGAAGCTCAAGCAGCCACTGGCTTTATGATTGATCCTGTACAAAATAAAAAGTATACAGTGGACGAAGCCATAAAACACAAACTCATTGGGCCAGAATATCATGCAAAGCTGCTTTCTGCTGAACGAGCGGTGACTGGGTACAAAGATCCATATTCAGGGGAGACCATATCCCTCTTTCAAGCTATGTCAAAAGACCTCATTGTCAAAGAACACGGGATCCGTTTGCTCGAGGCTCAAATTGCAACTGGTGGAATTATAGATCCAATCAACAGCCACAGGCTTCCTACAGCAATGGCTTTTAAAAGGGGCTATTTTGATGAGAAAATGAACACCACACTGGAAAATGCAGGAGATGACACAAAAGGTTTTTTTGACCCAAATACTGAGGAAAATCTAACTTATCTTCAGCTGATGGAAAGATGTGTCACTGATCCTGCAACTGGTTTGTGTCTCCTCCCTCTCCAAGACAAACAAGGAAGAGTGACTTCCAGCTTCATTGACTACCAAACAAAAATGCTCTTCAAAGCTGAAAAGGTCCATGTCACATACGGGAAGTACATGGGAATGACAGTGTCGCTCTGGGAACTGCTGATGTCGAATTATTTTGATGAGACCCAAAGGAGAGACATTTTTCAGAAATACAGAGAAGGGAAGATGGATATAAAGAAAATCACTGCCATGATTCTGGAAATCATAGAAACATCTGTTAAAACAACAAAAGTCACATTTGAAGGCATCAGAGAAACTGTTACAGCCAAACAGCTTGTGGAGGCAGATATCATCACCCAGGAGATGATGGAGGATCTGGAAAAGGGAAAAACGTCAGTAAAAGACATAATACAGGATGAAACTGTAAACATGTATTTACAAGGAAAAGACAGCATTGCAGGCATTCTGCTACCAGATTCTCAAATCATGACTATCTACCAAGCAAGACAAAAAAGGAAGCTAATGCCAGGAACTGCACTAATTCTACTAGAGGCACAGGCAGCAACAGGGTTTGTCATTGATCCTATTGGAAACAGGAAGTTTTCAGTGGATGAAGCCGTTAAAGCAAAAGTTGTGGGGCCGGATGTCTGTCAGAAGCTTCGCTCAGCGGAGAAAGCAGTCACTGGGTACAAAGATCCTCACAATGGAAACATAATCTCCTTGTTCCAAGCAATGCAAAAAGACCTGATCATCAAAGAACATGGAATTCGGCTTCTGGAAGCACAGATTGCGACGGGTGGAATTATCGACCCAGTGAACAGCCATCGCATTCCGGTCCACGTGGCCTACAAAAGGGGCTACTTTAATGAAAATATGAATCAGATCCTGAGTGATCCAAGTGATGACACCAAGGGATTCTTTGACCCCAACACCCATGAGAACCTGACGTATTTGCAGCTTATGGCCAGATGTGTCACAGATCCCAGTACTGGCCTGTGCCTCTTGCCTCTAAAGTGTAAGAGCAAGACTGTCAGCGTAGATGACAACATGCGAGAAACTTTTCAAAGGACAACAGTTACAGTTAAGTATGGCAGATTCAAGGGCAAGCACACAACATTGTGGGATCTGATCAATTCAGAGTATCTGTCAGAAGAAAAACGGCAGGAGCTCTTTAAGCTCTTCAGGTCTAGAAGAATCACCATAGAGGAAATCACAGCCATCATTTTGGAGATCATTGAGAGTAAGGAGATCAAACAACAAGCAGAGCTGAATTTTGAAGGTCTCAGAGGAGAAATATCTGTTGTGGATCTTCTGGATCTTAAAATTTTGGATGAAAATGTTTACAACAATTTGATCAATGGAAAGCTATCGAGCACTGATGTGATGAAGATGGATAGCGTGAGAGCCTATCTGCAAGGAACGAGCTGTGTGGCTGGGTTGATCCTGCAACCATCCAATCAGAAAATAAGCATTTATGAAGCACAGAAAAAAGGTATCCTTACACCCGGGACTGCCCTCTGCCTCCTCGAAGCACAAGCTGCCACAGGATTCATTATAGATCCTCTGAATAACAAAAAACTTACCGTAGAACAAGCTCTAAAAGAGAAGGTGATTGGACCACAGATGTATGAAAAGCTTCTGTCTGCAGAGCGAGCTGTCACTGGATACACAGACCCATACACTGGTCAAAAGATCTCACTTTTCCAAGCATTGAAAAAGGATCTTATTGTCAAGCAGCATGGAATTCGTTTACTTGAGGCCCAAATTGGTACAGGTGGCATCATTGATCCCTTGAAGTGCCTTCACTTACCTCTAGAAGTTGCATACAAAAAAGGATATTTTGATGCTGAACTCAATGAAATCCTAAATGATCCAACTGATGACACAAAGGGCTTTTTTGATCCAAAGACTACAGAAAACTTGACATACATGGAAATGTTAAAGAGATGTGTAAAGGATAAAGAAACTGGACTTTTTCTCCTGCCTCTTGATGACACACCAAAGGCAAGAACAACAAAGGAAAAACCATACACCGAAGAAGAAATAAAGCAAGAATTTCAGAAAACAATTGTAAATGTAAAAGTGGGATGGTATTCAAGAAAATCTGTTACTCTTTGGGACTTGATTCACTCTCATTACTTCACAGAGGATCAGCTGCTGGACTTTATTGAAAAATACAGAACAAGGCAAATTTGTATACAAACAATAACCACAATAGTGCTTGAAACAATAGAGAAACTGGAGAAGAATGAAACCCCTAAAGTGGCTATGGGCCTGAGAAATCCTGTCTCTGCACAACAACTACTGGAATCTGAGATTATTGATGAAGAGACCTTTGATCTGGTTATAGAGGGAAAACGCAGCTTTGATTCGATAGTCCAAACAGAACCTGTGAAATGTTACCTGAAGGGGACTGGAAGCATTGCTGGAATCAAGGTATATCCAACCCAGAAAATAATGAGCATTTACCAAGCAAAACAAGAAGATCTGTTGACTCCACGTATTGCTCTTGAACTGCTTGAAGCACAGTCTGCAACAGGATGGATCATTGATCCTGTCAACAACAAATTCTATTGTGTGGAAGAAGCTGGAAAAGACAAAGTAATTGGACCAGATATACATGAGCAACTGGTTTCAGCTGAGCGTGCCGTCACTGGCTATAAAGATCCTTACACCGACGCAACTATATCTGTGTTTGAAGCCATCAATAAACAACTGATACAAAGAAGTGTCGGCATGCGTCTTCTTCAGGCACAGATAGCAACTGGAGGAGTGATTGATCCAAATCAAAGCCACAGGCTACCAACTCGCGTAGCTATTAAAAGGGGGTATCTTGACGAAGAAACTGCTAAAATCTTGCTGAATCCTACTGATGAAACAAAGGGTTTCTTTGACCCAAACACCAATGAAAATTTGTCCTACCTCCAGCTGATAAATCGATGTGAGAAAGATGCTAAGACTGGGCTGCTTGTCTTGCCACTGCATAAGGAGCCCAAATGGTTTCATACAGATGAGCAAGTAGAGCAGGCCTTCAAAAACAAAACACTGACCATAAATGTGGGAAAATTCAAAAACAAAGAAGTAACATTGTGGGACGTGTTGCTCTCAGAATACATTTCAAAGGAGAAAAGGGAACAGCTCATACAACAATACAAGACAGGAACTATGAAAATGGAAGAAATTATTGAAATACTCATTATGATCATAACAGAGATATCTTCCAAAGAAAAAAAGTTCAAAGGACTAAGAAAGCAAGTATCAGCAAGTGAGCTTTATGAGTCCAAAATCATTTCAAAGGAGCTTTTTGGTCAGATTATAAAAGGAGAGGTAACGGAAGAAACCGTTACCAAAATGGAGTCCATCCAGAAGTACCTTGGAGCTACAAACTGTATTGCAGGTGTGAGAGTTGAAGCTACAAAACAGGTTATGAGTATCTATGATGCCAAGTCAAGAGGTCTACTAACTCCTGGCACCTCTCTGATTCTACTGGAAGCCCAAGCTGCCACTGGCTTCATAATTGACCCAGTAAATAATAAGAAACTGTCAGTGGATGAGGCGGTGGCCAACTCAGTTGTGGGCAAAGAGTGGAAAAACAAACTTCTTTCAGCAGAAAGAGCTGTTACAGGGTACAAAGACCCCTACACAGGAAACACAATTTCCTTGTTCCAGGCCTTGCAAAAAGACCTCATTGTAAAGGATCATGGAATTCGTCTTCTTGAGGCCCAAATTGCAACTGGGGGTATCATTGATCCTATCCACAGTCATAGAGTACCTGTGCAAGTGGCATACCAAAGAGGATACTTTGATGAAGAAATGAACCAAATTTTATCTGATGCAGACGATGACACCAAGGGATTCTTTGACCCAAACACTCAAGAAAACCTGACATATCTCCAGCTTATTGAAAGATGTGTCAAAGATCCAGTGACAGAGCTTATCTTGCTATCCATTGTGAAGAAAGGAGAGGCCTATTTCTTTGTAGATGAGGAAACCAAGCTCACTTTCAAATCTAAAACAACAAACAAAGCCGGAGGAAAATACAAGGGAACCACTGTTTCACTCTGGGAACTTCTATACTCCCAATACATCACTGAGGAAAAGAGGCAAGAGCTTGTCAAACAGTATAAAGCTGGATCCATCACAATTGAACAGTTCCTGGAAAGCATCTTGACAATCATTCAGCAGCAGACCTCCCCCAAAACTTCCACAACTACCACCACCACCACCACCACAACTGTCACTGAAACCAGTGAGGATAAATCATTTAAGGGCATCAGAAAAGGTGTCTCTATGTCAGAGCTGTTTCAATCAAAAATAATTGATGAAAAGCTCTTCAATGATCTGAACGCTGGAAAGGTCACAGTTAGTGAAGTAAGTGAGATGAACTCAGTGAGGAAATACCTCGAGGGCACAAACAGCATTGCAGGAGTGTACATTCAGTCCACCAGGGAGACACTGAGTGTCTATGAAGCCAAATCAAGAGGTCTACTGACTCCAGGTACCTCTCTGGTTCTGCTGGAAGCCCAAGCTGCCACTGGCTTTGTTATCGACCCAGTAAAGAACAAGAAACTCTCCGTAGAGGAGGCTGTTAATAAAGGTGTGGTTGGCAAGGAGTGGAAGGAAAAACTGCTTTCAGCAGAAAGAGCTGTTACAGGGTACAAAGACCCCTACACTGGAAACACCATTTCCTTGTTCCAGGCCTTGCAAAAAGACCTCATTGTGAAGGATCATGGAATTCGTCTTCTTGAGGCCCAAATTGCAACCGGAGGTATCATTGATCCTGTCTACAGTCACAGAGTACCTGTGCACGTGGCATACCAAAGAGGCTACTTTAACGAAGAAATGAATACGATTTTATCTGATGCAGGTGATGACACCAAGGGATTCTTTGACCCAAACACCAAGGAGAACCTCACTTACCTTCAACTGATTGAGAGGTGTATTACTGATCCAGTCACAGGCCTCAGTCTACTGGTCATTGTGAAAAAAGGAGAGACCTATTTCTTTGTTGATGAGGAAACCAAGCTCGCTTTAAAATCTAAAATGACAAACAAAGCCGGAGGAAGATACAAGGGAACCACTGTTTCACTCTGGGAACTTCTATACTCCCAATACATCACTGAGGAAAAGAGGCAAGAGCTTGTCAAACAGTATAAAGCTGGATCCATCACAACTGAACAGTTCCTGGAAATCATCTTGACAATCATTCAGCAGCAGACCTCCCCCAAAACTTCCACAACTACCACCACCACCACCACCACAACTGTCACTGAAACCAGTGAGGATAAATCATTTAAGGGCATCAGAAAAGGTGTCTCTATGTCAGAGCTGTTTCAATCAAAAATCATTGATGAAAAGCTCTTCAATGATCTGAACGCTGGAAAGGTCACAGTGAGTGAAGTAAGTGAGATGAACTCAGTGAGGAAATACCTCGAGGGCACAAACAGCATTGCAGGAGTGTACATTCAGTCCACCAGGGAGACACTGAGTGTCTATGAAGCCAAATCAAGAGGTCTACTGACTCCAGGTACCTCTCTGGTTCTGCTGGAAGCCCAAGCTGCCACTGGCTTTGTTATCGACCCAGTAAAGAACAAGAAACTCTCCGTAGAGGAGGCTGTTAATAAAGGAGTGGTTGGCAAGGAGTGGAAGGAAAAACTGCTTTCAGCAGAAAGAGCTGTTACAGGGTACAAAGACCCCTACACTGGAAACACCATTTCCTTGTTCCAGGCCTTGCAAAAAGACCTCATTGTGAAGGATCATGGAATTCGTCTTCTTGAGGCCCAAATTGCAACCGGAGGTATCATTGATCCCGTATACAGTCACAGAGTACCTGTACACGTGGCATACCAAAGAGGCTACTTTAACGAAGAAATGAATAGGATTTTATCTGATGCAGGTGATGACACCAAGGGATTCTTTGACCCAAACACCAAGGAGAACCTCACTTACCTTCAACTGATTGAGAGGTGTATTACTGATCCAGTCACAGGCCTCAGTCTACTGGTCATTGTGAAAAAAGGAGAGACCTATTTCTTTGTTGATGAGGAAACCAAGCTCACTTTAAAATCTAAAATGACAACAAAAGCTGGAGGAAAATACAAGGGAACCACTGTTTCACTCTGGGAACTTCTATACTCCCAATACATCACTGAGGAAAAGAGGCAAGAGCTTGTCAAACAGTATAAAGCTGGATCCATCACAATTGAACAGTTCCTGGAAAGCATCTTGACAATCATTCAGCAGCAGACCTCCCCCAAAACTTCCACAACTACCACCACCACCACCACCACAAATGTCACTGAAACCAGTGAGGATAAATCATTTAAGGGCATCAGAAAAGGTGTCTCTATGTCGGAGCTGTTTCAATCAAAAATCATTGATGAAAAGCTCTTCAATGATCTGAATGCTGGAAAGGTCACAGTGAGTGAAGTAAGTGAGATGAACTCAGTGAGGAAATACCTCGAGGGCACAAACAGTATTGCAGGAGTGTACATTCAGTCCACCAGGGAGACATTGAGTGTCTATGAAGCCAAATCAAGAGGTCTACTGACTCCAGGTACCTCTCTGGTTCTGCTGGAAGCCCAAGCTGCCACTGGCTTTGTTATCGACCCAGTAAAGAACAAGAAACTCTCCGTAGAGGAAGCTGTTAATAAAGGAGTGGTTGGCAAGGAGTGGAAGGAAAAACTGCTTTCAGCAGAAAGAGCTGTTACAGGGTACAAAGACCCCTACACTGGAAACACCATTTCCTTGTTCCAGGCCTTGCAAAAAGACCTCATTGTGAAGGATCATGGAATTCGTCTTCTTGAGGCCCAAATTGCAACCGGAGGTATCATTGATCCCGTATACAGTCACAGAGTACCTGTACACGTGGCATACCAAAGAGGCTACTTTAACGAAGAAATGAATAGGATTTTATCTGATGCAGGTGATGACACCAAGGGATTCTTTGACCCAAACACCAAGGAGAACCTCACTTACCTTCAACTGATTGAGAGGTGTATTACTGATCCAGTCACAGGCCTCAGTCTACTGGTCATTGTGAAAAAAGGAGAGACCTATTTCTTTGTTGATGAGGAAACCAAGCTCGCTTTAAAATCTAAAATGACAAACAAAGCTGGAGGAAAATACAAGGGAACCACTGTTTCACTCTGGGAACTTCTATACTCCCAATACATCACTGAGGAAAAGAGGCAAGAGCTTGTCAAACAGTATAAAGCTGGATCCATCACAATTGAACAGTTCCTGGAAAGCATCTTGACAATCATTCAGCAGCAGACCTCCCCCAAAACTTCCACAACTACCACCACCACCACCACAACTGTCACTGAAACCAGTGAGGATAAATCATTTAAGGGCATCAGAAAAGGTGTCTCTATGTCGGAGCTGTTTCAATCAAAAATCATTGATGAAAAGCTCTTCAATGATCTGAACGCTGGAAAGGTCACAGTGAGTGAAGTAAGTGAGATGAACTCAGTGAGGAAATACCTCGAGGGCACAAACAGCATTGCAGGAGTGTACATTCAGTCCACCAGGGAGACATTGAGTGTCTATGAAGCTAAATCAAGAGGTCTACTGACTCCAGGTACCTCTCTGGTTCTGCTGGAAGCCCAAGCTGCCACTGGCTTTGTTATCGACCCAGTAAAGAACAAGAAACTCTCCGTAGAGGAGGCTGTTAATAAAGGTGTGGTTGGCAAGGAGTGGAAGGAAAAACTGCTTTCAGCAGAAAGAGCTGTTACAGGGTACAAAGACCCCTACACTGGAAACACCATTTCCTTGTTCCAGGCCTTGCAAAAAGACCTCATTGTGAAGGATCATGGAATTCGTCTTCTTGAGGCCCAAATTGCAACCGGAGGTATCATTGATCCCGTATACAGTCACAGAGTACCTGTACACGTGGCATACCAAAGAGGCTACTTTAACGAAGAAATGAATATGATTTTATCTGATGCAGGTGATGACACCAAGGGATTCTTTGACCCAAACACCAAGGAGAACCTCACTTACCTTCAACTGATTGAGAGGTGTATTACTGATCCAGTCACAGGCCTCAGTCTACTGGTCATTGTGAAAAAAGGAGAGACCTATTTCTTTGTTGATGAGGAAACCAAGCTCGCTTTAAAATCTAAAATGACAAACAAAGCTGGAGGAAAATACAAGGGAACCACTGTTTCACTCTGGGAACTTCTATACTCCCAATACATCACTGAGGAAAAGAGGCAAGAGCTTGTCAAACAGTATAAAGCTGGATCCATCACAATTGAACGTTTCCTGGAAATCATCTTGACAATCATTCAGCAGCAGACCTCCCCCAAAACTTCCACAACTACCACCACCACCACCACCACAACTGTCACTGAAACCAGTGAGGATAAATCATTTAAGGGCATCAGAAAAGGTGTCTCTATGTCGGAGCTGTTTCAATCAAAAATCATTGATGAAAAGCTCTTCAATGATCTGAATGCTGGAAAGGTCACAGTGAGTGAAGTAAGTGAGATGAACTCAGTGAGGAAATACCTCGAGGGCACAAACAGCATTGCAGGAGTGTACATTCAGTCCACCAGGGAGACACTGAGTGTCTATGAAGCCAAATCAAGAGGTCTACTGACTCCAGGTACCTCTCTGGTTCTGCTGGAAGCCCAAGCTGCCACTGGCTTTGTTATCGACCCAGTAAAGAACAAGAAACTCTCCGTAGAGGAGGCTGTAAATAAAGGTGTGGTTGGCAAGGAGTGGAAGGAAAAACTGCTTTCAGCAGAAAGAGCTGTTACAGGGTACAAAGACCCCTACACTGGAAACACCATTTCCTTGTTCCAGGCCTTGCAAAAAGACCTCATTGTGAAGGATCATGGAATTCGTCTTCTTGAGGCCCAAATTGCAACCGGAGGTATCATTGATCCCGTATACAGTCACAGAGTACCTGTACACGTGGCATACCAAAGAGGCTACTTTAACGAAGAAATGAATAGGATTTTATCTGATGCAGGTGATGACACCAAGGGATTCTTTGACCCAAACACCAAGGAGAACCTCACTTACCTTCAACTGATTGAGAGGTGTATTACTGATCCAGTCACAGGCCTCAGTCTACTGGTCATTGTGAAAAAAGGAGAGACCTATTTCTTTGTTGATGAGGAAACCAAGCTCGCTTTAAAATCTAAAATGACAAACAAAGCTGGAGGAAAATACAAGGGAACCACTGTTTCACTCTGGGAACTTCTATACTCCCAAAACATCACTGAGGAAAAGAGGCAAGAGCTTGTCAAACAGTATAAAGCTGGATCCATCACAATTGAACAGTTCCTGGAAAGCATCTTTACAATCATTCAGCAGCAGACCTCCCCCAAAACTTCCACAACTACCACCACCACCACCACCACAACTGTCACTGAAACCAGTGAGGATAAATCCTTTAAGGGCATCAGAAAAGGTGTCTCTATGTCGGAGCTGTTTCAATCAAAAATCATTGATGAAAAGCTCTTCAATGATCTGAATGCTGGAAAGGTCACAGTGAGTGAAGTAAGTGAGATGAACTCAGTGAGGAAATACCTCGAGGGCACAAACAGCATTGCAGGAGTGTACATTCAGTCCACCAGGGAGACACTGAGTGTCTATGAAGCCAAATCAAGAGGTCTACTGACTCCAGGTACCTCTCTGGTTCTGCTGGAAGCCCAAGCTGCCACTGGCTTTGTTATCGACCCAGTAAAGAACAAGAAACTCTCCGTAGAGGAGGCTGTTAATAAAGGTGTGGTTGGCAAGGAGTGGAAGGAAAAACTGCTTTCAGCAGAAAGAGCTGTTACAGGGTACAAAGACCCCTACACTGGAAACACCATTTCCTTGTTCCAGGCCTTGCAAAAAGACCTCATTGTGAAGGATCATGGAATTCGTCTTCTTGAGGCCCAAATTGCAACCGGAGGTATCATTGATCCTGTCTACAGTCACAGAGTACCTGTACACGTGGCATACCAAAGAGGCTACTTTAACGAAGAAATGAATACGATTTTATCTGATGCAGGTGATGACACCAAGGGATTCTTTGACCCAAACACCAAGGAGAACCTCACTTACCTTCAACTGATTGAGAGGTGTATTACTGATCCAGTCACAGGCCTCAGTCTACTGGTCATTGTGAAAAAAGGAGAGACCTATTTCTTTGTTGATGAGGAAACCAAGCTCGCTTTAAAATCTAAAATGACAAACAAAGCCGGAGGAAGATACAAGGGAACCACTGTTTCACTCTGGGAACTTCTATACTCCCAATACATCACTGAGGAAAAGAGGCAAGAGCTTGTCAAACAGTATAAAGCTGGATCCATCACAATTGAACAGTTCCTGGAAATCATCTTGACAATCATTCAGCAGCAGACCTCCCCCAAAACTTCCACAACTACCACCACCACCACCACCACAACGGTCACTGAAACCAGTGAGGATAAATCATTTAAGGGCATCAGAAAAGGTGTCTCTATGTCAGAGCTGTTTCAATCAAAAATCATTGATGAAAAGCTCTTCAATGATCTGAACGCTGGAAAGGTCACAGTGAGTGAAGTAAGTGAGATGAACTCAGTGAGGAAATACCTCGAGGGCACAAACAGCATTGCAGGAGTGTACATTCAGTCCACCAGGGAGACACTGAGTGTCTATGAAGCCAAATCAAGAGGTCTACTGACTCCAGGTACCTCTCTGGTTCTGCTGGAAGCCCAAGCTGCCACTGGCTTTGTTATCGACCCAGTAAAGAACAAGAAACTCTCCGTAGAGGAGGCTGTAAATAAAGGTGTGGTTGGCAAGGAGTGGAAGGAAAAACTGCTTTCAGCAGAAAGAGCTGTTACAGGGTACAAAGACCCCTACACTGGAAACACCATTTCCTTGTTCCAGGCCTTGCAAAAAGACCTCATTGTGAAGGATCATGGAATTCGTCTTCTTGAGGCCCAAATTGCAACCGGAGGTATCATTGATCCCGTATACAGTCACAGAGTACCTGTACACGTGGCATACCAAAGAGGCTACTTTAACGAAGAAATGAATACGATTTTATCTGATGCAGGTGATGACACCAAGGGATTCTTTGACCCAAACACCAAGGAAAACCTCACTTACCTTCAACTGATTGAGAGGTGTATTACTGATCCAGTCACAGGCCTCAGTCTACTGGTCATTGTGAAAAAAGGAGAGACCTATTTCTTTGTTGATGAGGAAACCAAGCTCGCTTTAAAATCTAAAATGACAACAAAAGCTGGAGGAAAATACAAGGGAACCACTGTTTCACTCTGGGAACTTCTATACTCCCAATACATCACTGAGGAAAAGAGGCAAGAGCTTGTCAAACAGTATAAAGCTGGATCCATCACAATTGAACAGTTCCTGGAAAGCATCTTGACAATCATTCAGCAGCAGACCTCCCCCAAAACTTCCACAACTACCACCACCACCACAACTGTCACTGAAACCAGTGAGGATAAATCATTTAAGGGCATCAGAAAAGGTGTCTCTATGTCGGAGCTGTTTCAATCAAAAATCATTGATGAAAAGCTCTTCAATGATCTGAATGCTGGAAAGGTCACAGTGAGTGAAGTAAGTGAGATGAACTCAGTGAGGAAATACCTCGAGGGCACAAACAGTATTGCAGGAGTGTACATTCAGTCCACCAGGGAGACACTGAGTGTCTATGAAGCCAAATCAAGAGGTCTACTGACTCCAGGTACCTCTCTGGTTCTGCTGGAAGCCCAAGCTGCCACTGGCTTTGTTATCGACCCAGTAAAGAACAAGAAACTCTCCGTAGAGGAGGCTGTTAATAAAGGAGTGGTTGGCAAGGAGTGGAAGGAAAAACTGCTTTCAGCAGAAAGAGCTGTTACAGGGTACAAAGACCCCTACACTGGAAACACTATTTCCTTGTTCCAGGCCTTGCAAAAAGACCTCATTGTGAAGGATCATGGAATTCGTCTTCTTGAGGCCCAAATTGCAACCGGAGGTATCATTGATCCCGTATACAGTCACAGAGTACCTGTACACGTGGCATACCAAAGAGGCTACTTTAACGAAGAAATGAATAGGATTTTATCTGATGCAGGTGATGACACCAAGGGATTCTTTGACCCAAACACCAAGGAGAACCTCACTTACCTTCAACTGATTGAGAGGTGTATTACTGATCCAGTCACAGGCCTCAGTCTACTGGTCATTGTGAAAAAAGGAGAGACCTATTTCTTTGTTGATGAGGAAACCAAGCTCGCTTTAAAATCTAAAATGACAAACAAAGCTGGAGGAAAATACAAGGGAACCACTGTTTCACTCTGGGAACTTCTATACTCCCAATACATCACTGAGGAAAAGAGGCAAGAGCTTGTCAAACAGTATAAAGCTGGATCCATCACAATTGAACGTTTCCTGGAAATCATCTTGACAATCATTCAGCAGCAGACCTCCCCCAAAACTTCCACAACTACCACCACCACCACCACCACAACTGTCACTGAAACCAGTGAGGATAAATCATTTAAGGGCATCAGAAAAGGTGTCTCTATGTCGGAGCTGTTTCAATCAAAAATCATTGATGAAAAGCTCTTCAATGATCTGAACGCTGGAAAGGTCACAGTGAGTGAAGTAAGTGAGATGAACTCAGTGAGGAAATACCTCGAGGGCACAAACAGCATTGCAGGAGTGTACATTCAGTCCACCAGGGAGACACTGAGTGTCTATGAAGCTAAATCAAGAGGTCTACTGACTCCAGGTACCTCTCTGGTTCTGCTGGAAGCCCAAGCTGCCACTGGCTTTGTTATCGACCCAGTGAAGAACAAGAAACTCTCCGTAGAGGAGGCTGTTAATAAAGGTGTGGTTGGCAAGGAGTGGAAAGAAAAACTGCTTTCAGCAGAAAGAGCTGTTACAGGGTACAAAGACCCCTACACTGGAAACACCATTTCCTTGTTCCAGGCCTTGCAAAAAGACCTCATTGTGAAGGATCATGGAATTCGTCTTCTTGAGGCCCAAATTGCAACCGGAGGTATCATTGATCCCGTATACAGTCACAGAGTACCTGTACACGTGGCATACCAAAGAGGCTACTTTAACGAAGAAATGAATATGATTTTATCTGATGCAGGTGATGACACCAAGGGATTCTTTGACCCAAACACCAAGGAGAACCTCACTTACCTTCAACTGATTGAGAGGTGTATTACTGATCCAGTCACAGGCCTCAGTCTACTGGTCATTGTGAAAAAAGGAGAGACCTATTTCTTTGTTGATGAGGAAACCAAGCTCGCTTTAAAATCTAAAATGACAAACAAAGCCGGAGGAAGATACAAGGGAACCACTGTTTCACTCTGGGAACTTCTATACTCCCAATACATCACTGAGGAAAAGAGGCAAGAGCTTGTCAAACAGTATAAAGCTGGATCCATCACAATTGAACGTTTCCTGGAAATCATCTTGACAATCATTCAGCAGCAGACCTCCCCCAAAACTTCCACAACTACCACCACCACCACCACAACTGTCACTGAAACCAGTGAGGATAAATCATTTAAGGGCATCAGAAAAGGTGTCTCTATGTCGGAGCTGTTTCAATCAAAAATCATTGATGAAAAGCTCTTCAATGATCTGAACGCTGGAAAGGTCACAGTGAGTGAAGTAAGTGAGATGAACTCAGTGAGGAAATACCTCGAGGGCACAAACAGCATTGCAGGAGTGTACATTCAGTCCACCAGGGAGACACTGAGTGTCTATGAAGCCAAATCAAGAGGTCTACTGACTCCAGGTACCTCTCTGGTTCTGCTGGAAGCCCAAGCTGCCACTGGCTTTGTTATCGACCCAGTAAAGAACAAGAAACTCTCCGTAGAGGAGGCTGTTAATAAAGGTGTGGTTGGCAAGGAGTGGAAAGAAAAACTGCTTTCAGCAGAAAGAGCTGTTACAGGGTACAAAGACCCCTACACTGGAAACACCATTTCCTTGTTCCAGGCCTTGCAAAAAGACCTCATTGTGAAGGATCATGGAATTCGTCTTCTTGAGGCCCAAATTGCAACCGGAGGTATCATTGATCCCGTATACAGTCACAGAGTACCTGTACACGTGGCATACCAAAGAGGCTACTTTAACGAAGAAATGAATAGGATTTTATCTGATGCAGGTGATGACACCAAGGGATTCTTTGACCCAAACACCAAGGAGAACCTCACTTACCTTCAACTGATTGAGAGGTGTATTACTGATCCAGTCACAGGTCTCAGTCTACTGGTCATTGTGAAAAAAGGAGAGACCTATTTCTTTGTTGATGAGGAAACCAAGCTCGCTTTAAAATCTAAAATGACAAACAAAGCTGGAGGAAAATACAAGGGAACCACTGTTTCACTCTGGGAACTTCTATACTCCCAATACATCACTGAGGAAAAGAGGCAAGAGCTTGTCAAACAGTATAAAGCTGGATCCATCACAACTGAACAGTTCCTGGAAATCATCTTGACAATCATTCAGCAGCAGACCTCCCCCAAAACTTCCACAACTACCACCACCACCACCACCACAACTGTCACTGAAACCAGTGAGGATAAATCATTTAAGGGCATCAGAAAAGGTGTCTCTATGTCAGAGCTGTTTCAATCAAAAATCATTGATGAAAAGCTCTTCAATGATCTGAACGCTGGAAAGGTCACAGTGAGTGAAGTAAGTGAGATGAACTCAGTGAGGAAATACCTCGAGGGCACAAACAGCATTGCAGGAGTGTACATTCAGTCCACCAGGGAGACACTGAGTGTCTATGAAGCCAAATCAAGAGGTCTACTGACTCCAGGTACCTCTCTGGTTCTGCTGGAAGCCCAAGCTGCCACTGGCTTTGTTATCGACCCAGTAAAGAACAAGAAACTCTCCGTAGAGGAGGCTGTTAATAAAGGTGTGGTTGGCAAGGAGTGGAAAGAAAAACTGCTTTCAGCAGAAAGAGCTGTTACAGGGTACAAAGACCCCTACACTGGAAACACCATTTCCTTGTTCCAGGCCTTGCAAAAAGACCTCATTGTGAAGGATCATGGAATTCGTCTTCTTGAGGCCCAAATTGCAACCGGAGGTATCATTGATCCCGTATACAGTCACAGAGTACCTGTACACGTGGCATACCAAAGAGGCTACTTTAACGAAGAAATGAATACGATTTTATCTGATGCAGGTGATGACACCAAGGGATTCTTTGACCCAAACACCAAGGAGAACCTCACTTACCTTCAACTGATTGAGAGGTGTATTACTGATCCAGTCACAGGCCTCAGTCTACTGGTCATTGTGAAAAAAGGAGAGACCTATTTCTTTGTTGATGAGGAAACCAAGCTCGCTTTAAAATCTAAAATGACAAACAAAGCTGGAGGAAAATACAAGGGAACCACTGTTTCACTCTGGGAACTTCTATACTCCCAAAACATCACTGAGGAAAAGAGGCAAGAGCTTGTCAAACAGTATAAAGCTGGATCCATCACAATTGAACGTTTCCTGGAAATCATCTTGACAATCATTCAGCAGCAGACCTCCCCCAAAACTTCCACAACTACCACCACCACCACAACGGTCACTGAAACCAGTGAGGATAAATCATTTAAGGGCATCAGAAAAGGTGTCTCTATGTCGGAGCTGTTTCAATCAAAAATCATTGATGAAAAGCTCTTCAATGATCTGAATGCTGGAAAGGTCACAGTGAGTGAAGTAAGTGAGATGAACTCAGTGAGGAAATACCTCGAGGGCACAAACAGCATTGCAGGAGTGTACATTCAGTCCACCAGGGAGACACTGAGTGTCTATGAAGCCAAATCAAGAGGTCTACTGACTCCAGGTACCTCTCTGGTTCTGCTGGAAGCCCAAGCTGCCACTGGCTTTGTTATCGACCCAGTAAAGAACAAGAAACTCTCCGTAGAGGAGGCTGTTAATAAAGGAGTGGTTGGCAAGGAGTGGAAGGAAAAACTGATTTCAGCAGAAAGAGCTGTTACAGGGTACAAAGACCCCTACACTGGAAACACCATTTCCTTGTTCCAGGCCTTGCAAAAAGACCTCATTGTGAAGGATCATGGAATTCGTCTTCTTGAGGCCCAAATTGCAACCGGAGGTATCATTGATCCCGTATACAGTCACAGAGTACCTGTACACGTGGCATACCAAAGAGGCTACTTTAACGAAGAAATGAATAGGATTTTATCTGAAGCAGGTGATGACACCAAGGGATTCTTTGACCCAAACACCAAGGAGAACCTCACTTACCTTCAACTGATTGAGAGGTGTATTACTGATCCAGTCACAGGCCTCAGTTTGCTTCCACTTTCTAAATGAAGTCTGTATCAATGTGATTAAGTTGTTTAACTAGTTCATTTAATCCTTGGGTAATAAAATGTGAAACGGGCTGTGTGACCAAGGTCGCTAAAAACTATTGTGACATAAAATTACATGAGCAAGTTGTATTATGTAACATGTAATAATAAGAACTTTTTTAACGTTTCATGACATTGTTCAGAGTGCGAGGCTTTTTTCCTACATTCCTTGGATGAGGTACATTTATTTTGGGACTGATTTGGGATCTAACTGAATGATTTATTTGCTTTATGATGTTCAACATGTGGGAAATCACTTCTGCTGTTTGTGTCAAACCTGATAAACCGTCAGTGTTGAACTGCAAAATTCAAACAGTAATTTTAAATGTTGCTTTCTGTAATAAAACCCAATAAACTGGTGAGGTCTGAACTCCATCTCAACTTGTTTTGAAAGGTTTTTTTTTCTCAGTTCAGTTAAACAAAGATTCAGAAATCATTTGTTGTACTAAGAGTTGCAAAGTTTCTCAAACCCAGTACCAGGAACTCGGTTCACAAACAAAACCAGCTGAGCACAGAAGTGACTAGTCGTACTGACTCAGCACCCTCTAGTGGAAATAAACACAACCACAACCTTCATGCTGGTAAAAAGGAGCATTTGTCTTCAGAATCACTTTGACTTTATTTGAGAGTGAAAGGACTTTTCAGCCTAGATGATCTAAAACCTCTTAATTGTATTAAAACTGGTCAGATTGTATAACAAAGGTAAACCCTTCAATAAAGGACCAAAATCTGAGTTCTGATTATTTTTGTGCGTCTTTAGGCAAGTTTCAACAAAACCTGAGAAAATTGTCCACAATCCTTAAACACGATCCGAGTCTAAGTTTCTAAAAGTCTGAATATGAAGCTTACTCCAGTTTGTCCAACAGCTCACAGATTTCTTCTTGGCTGCGATAAATTTTCTTCAATCCTCTTGGAAGATAACGGCAGGATGACAGGTTGAGATAATTCAGAGCCGTCATCTGTCTGACGACTGACCTGCAGCAAGAGTCAGGAATGTAACCGTTCAGTTGTGTGAAGTCAGACAGGAGAACAGAGACATAATGACGGAGTGTCTAATAGTTGTAAGAAGTACTGATTGAATAAAGTCACTTCGTTGACTGCAGGTGAGCAAACTGGAATTTAAAACAGCTAATGACTAAAAAAGGCCCACTAACAGTGCGGTGTCCACTCTGGGACAATCTTAGGTCCCAGCATCTTCAGACTTCACACCAAATGGCCTCAGAGGTCAGATTTCAGAAGAAAAAAGATCCTTCAGATTAGGGCTGTCGCGGTAACCGCAAAAATGAAATATCGCAATATGAAGAAGCCCACCGCGCTGCATCATGGGCCACCGCGATTACTGAACTTGGTTCAACTCAATGATGCATGTTGAGAAGGATGGCTGCACTGGTATCAAAACGAAACGTTACTTCGCTCCTTTGGGAGCGCTTTGGTTTTCAGTACGTCAGCTGCTGCGCAGCCAGAGTCCTTGGCCGAGGCAGAGCTGCCACCAGCGGCAAAAAAATAATAATAAACGCTCGGAGACCTGCTGAAGTCCCGGACAAGCACTGCTTCTGCAACCGTCCCGAAGAGAGTTTGAGCCGAGCTGGAGCTCACTCGCTACCTGCAGGAGGAATGCATCCACCCTAAAGAACCCCCCTGACATGGTGGAGCAACAACCGGGAGAGATTCCCTTTGCTCGCCAGAGTCGCACGCAAGTTGAGTTCGGAAGCGAGCGGGGCCGGACCGGAGCGGAGGGGAGCGGAGGTAGTGGAATTTGAGGTAAGTGCAACGAGCGCACCATCCGAGAGGGTTTTCAGTGTTGCTGGAAATGTTGCCACCCCTCTCAGATCCTCTCTCAAACCGTATATGGTTAACATGCTGGTTTTCCTTGTATGTAACAAGGACGTGACCGAGCTATAAGTCACCGTCATTCGTGTGTGTGTGAAAGTGAAATGATAGTGCGCCCGCCCCCCGGCGCGCGCGCGCCCGGTACATGTAATTTTTTATGCTTGATTTTAAACAACTAAACAAAATGGGGACTTGTTTGTTATTTGTTAGATGCTGCAGCCAAATTTGCATTTAAAAGTTTAACCTTCTCCTGAATTTTGTTGTTTTTAAGTTCAGTCGGACTCCGACTGTCAGAGAAACAAACGTTACTGCGATCTGCGTTGTTACTGCCCTTTGATCTGCATTCAGTAAAGCGTTATAAAAGAAGGCACGGCAATTTTTAACCTTTTTTAAATGTGTAAACATTATGTTTAGATAGTACTGCAATAAAAAAAAGGACTGCAATAATATCGCATACCGCAATATTAAGCCACCCTGAATCACCGCAGGGGGAATTCCTCAACCGTGACAGCCCTACTTCAGATCGGACCAGATGATCTCAGAAAACACACAAGCTGAAGTTGGGTTCTGGTTTGAAGTTTTTTTGGTTCACCCAGACCCATTCCATTCTACCTTTATATATAAAGCACAGGAGTAACTGTAACAACCAGCGCTTCGAGGATCCTGGAATAGGAGTGATGTGCTCTGGCTTTCTGGCTTAGAAGCCAAGCAGCTGCATTTTAACCCAACTGGAGAATAGAAAGATTACATTATCCAAAAACCTGCCCTAGGCTGCAGTTTGGACACCCCTGGTCTAAAAAAGTGGTGATTACCTGAGGGCAGGTGGAGTGATTCTGGTCCCACTCAGGTTCAGAAAGCGTAACGTTTCTGCCTCCGATGTCTGAGTGAGGTAACTCATTGCTAACTCCAGGTCCTCCTCAGTGAAGGGCTGGTTAGCGATGTCAAGCTGCTGCAGAGTCGGCCCCCACTTCTGGGTCAGCAAGGTAAGCCCGCTCATCATAGATGAAGACCTGAACTGGCTGCTGTACTGACCCCAGAACAGACACTCGAGTTCTGACAGGAGAAGAAGAATGGGTCAGAAACCTGTTTACTGCCCACATGTCCAGGTTGGGTTGGTACTGATGTCTACAAAAAAGAACTAGTTAAATTTAGCTGCTGTTGGCTAGCAGCAGAGGAAGTGAAAGCTCTCTGATCGTTGCTTCAGAACAGCACAAAACCTGCAAACTAGTCATCTACAACTAAACCACTCATCTATGACTAAACTAGTCATCTACAGGTAAACCACTCATCTATGACTAAACTAGTCATCTACAGGTAAACCACTCATCTATGACTAAACTAGTCATCTACAGGTAAACCACTCATCTATGACTAAACTAGTCATCTACAGGTAAACCACTCATCTATGACTAAACTAGTCATCTACAACTAAACCACTCATCTATGACTAAACTAGTCATCTACAACTAAACCACTCATCTATGACTAAACTAGTCATCTACAGGTAAACCACTCATCTATGACTAAACTAGTCATCTACAGGTAAACCACTCATCTATGACTAAACTAGTCATCTACAGGTAAACCACTCATCTATGACTAAACTAGTCATCTACAGGTAAACCACTCATCTATGACTAAACTAGTCATCTACAGGTAAACCACTCATCTATGACTAAACTAGTCATCTACAGGTAAACCACTCATCTATGACTAAACTAGTCATCTACAGGTAAACCACTCATCTATGACTAAACTAGTCATCTACAACTAAACCACTCATCTATGACTAAACTAGTCATCTACAGGTAAACCACTCATCTATGACTAAACTAGTCATCTACAGGTAAACCACTCATCTATGACTAAACTAGTCATCTACAGGTAAACCACTCATCTATGACTAAACTAGTCATCTACAACTAAACCACTCATCTATGACTAAACTAGTCATCTACAGGTAAACCACTCATCTATGACTAAACTAGTCATCTACAGGTAAACCACTCATCTATGACTAAACTAGTCATCTACAGGTAAACCACTCATCTATGACTAAACTAGTCATCTACAGGTAAACCACTCATCTATGACTAAACTAGTCATCTACAACTAAACCACTCATCTATGACTAAACTAGTCATCTACAACTAAACCACTCATCTATGACTAAACTAGTCATCTACAGGTAAACCACTCATCTATGACTAAACTAGTCATCTACAGGTAAACCACTCATCTATGACTAAACTAGTCATCTACAACTAAACCACTCATCTATGACTAAACTAGTCATCTACAGGTAAACCACTCATCTATGACTAAACTAGTCATCTACAGGTAAACCACTCATCTATGACTAAACTAGTCATCTACAGGTAAACCACTCATCTATGACTAAACTAGTCATCTACAGGTAAACCACTCATCTATGACTAAACTAGTCATCTACAGGTAAACCACTCATCTATGACTAAACTAGTCATCTACAACTAAACCACTCATCTATGACTAAACTAGTCATCTACAGGTAAACCACTCATCTATGACTAAACTAGTCATCTACAACTAAACCACTCATCTATGACTAAACTAGTCATCTACAGGTAAACCACTCATCTATGACTAAACTAGTCATCTACAGGTAAACCACTCATCTATGACTAAACTAGTCATCTACAGGTAAACCACTCATCTATGACTAAACTAGTCATCTACAGGTAAACCACTCATCTATGACTAAACTAGTCATCTACAGGTAAACCACTCATCTATGACTAAACTAGTCATCTACAACTAAACCACTCATCTATGACTAAACTAGTCATCTACAGGTAAACCACTCATCTATGACTAAACTAGTCATCTACAACTAAACCACTCATCTATGACTAAACTAGTCATCTACAGGTAAACCACTCATCTATGACTAAACTAGTCATCTACAGGTAAACCACTCATCTATGACTAAACTAGTCATCTACAGGTAAACCACTCATCTATGACTAAACTAGTCATCTACAGGTAAACCACTCATCTATGACTAAACTAGTCATCTACAACTAAACCACTCATCTATGACTAAACTAGTCATCTACAACTAAACCACTCATCTATGACTAAACTAGTCATCTACAGGTAAACCACTCATCTATGACTAAACTAGTCATCTACAGGTAAACCACTCATCTATGACTAAACTAGTCATCTACAGGTAAACCACTCATCTATGACTAAACTAGTCATCTACAGGTAAACCACTCATCTATGACTAAACTAGTCATCTACAGGTAAACCACTCATCTATGACTAAACTAGTCATCTACAGGTAAACCACTCATCTATGACTAAACTAGTCATCTACAGGTAAACCACTCATCTATGACTAAACTAGTCATCTACAACTAAACCACTCATCTATGACTAAACTAGTCATCTACAGGTAAACCACTCATCTATGACTAAACTAGTCATCTACAGGTAAACCACTCATCTATGACTAAACTAGTCATCTACAGGTAAACCACTCATCTATGACTAAACTAGTCATCTACAACTAAACCACTCATCTATGACTAAACTAGTCATCTACAGGTAAACCACTCATCTATGACTAAACTAGTCATCTACAGGTAAACCACTCATCTATGACTAAACTAGTCATCTACAGGTAAACCACTCATCTATGACTAAACTAGTCATCTACAGGTAAACCACTCATCTATGACTAAACTAGTCATCTACAACTAAACCACTCATCTATGACTAAACTAGTCATCTACAACTAAACCACTCATCTATGACTAAACTAGTCATCTACAGGTAAACCACTCATCTATGACTAAACTAGTCATCTACAGGTAAACCACTCATCTATGACTAAACTAGTCATCTACAACTAAACCACTCATCTATGACTAAACTAGTCATCTACAGGTAAACCACTCATCTATGACTAAACTAGTCATCTACAGGTAAACCACTCATCTATGACTAAACTAGTCATCTACAGGTAAACCAGTCATCTGTGACTAAACTAGTCATCTATGACAAAACTAGCTGCCTTTGACACAGTAGATCACAATGTTCTTTTAGAAAGACTTGAACATGTTGTAGGGATCAAAGGAACAGCGTTAGGCTGGTTTAAATCCTACCTGTCTGACAGATTTCCTTTTGTAAACGTACATGACAAATCTTCTTCATACTCCAGGGTTACTTGTGGAGTACCACAGGGTTCAGTGTTTGGACCAATTCATTTACTATATATATGCTCCCAATTGGTAAAATCATTAGACAGCATGGGATAAACTTCCACTGTTATGCTGACGATGCTCAGCTATATCTACCCATTAACCCTGATGAACCTAACCGGTTGGGTAGACTACAGGCTTGTCTTGAAGACATAAAACATTGGATGACATCTGTGACTAAACTAGTCATCTGTGACTAAACAGTCTTCAGTTAAACACACAAAACTATTTTATATGTCGTGTTTCTAACAAATTTTAAATAATTTTTTCATGAATAAATAATTTCCTGAGGACGAGGTCGGGATTCAGCTTCTCAGGACATCAGAATATTTTTTGTGTTAAATAAAAAAATAAAATTAAATATCAACTCGATGCTATTTTTTCAATTTTTATCTGTTTATGCAAACATCAAGTTTGTCTGAGCTTTGGACCTGCAGCACCAACACACGATCCCTGAAGTTAAAAAACAAACGTTGTCTTTGCTACCGGGACATGGAAGCGCTGCCAGAGCGGAAGGCGTGATCCTGGAGCAGCCTCGCAGATCCAGAACTCTCAGTTTGGTGGATCCGAACAGAACCTCCCTCAAATCCCGGTCGGTCATGTAGGAATACGCTGTAGTGGCGATGCAAAGCTCCTCCAGCAGCGGGAAGCCTGAGCCGGTCGATGAAGCGGCGCCGTTACGCATCATCTTATGGAGAGGTCTGACGTTTAGCATCCGGAACGTCTGCCGGAGGAAACGGACAAAATCGTTGTTCATGGAGAAGCTTTAAATCAGTGCAGTGAAATAAACCAATTAAACCCTTTCAAACATCTAAATCACCAACTGTCTCATTATCTTTGAGCCTCTCCTCATTATTCAGATGTCAGAGCTGTTTTTAACAATTTCTGCCTCCAAAAGACTTTTTTATTAGTCACTTTAAATAGAATTAAATAAATAATCCTGGAAAAATGAAAATCAGCTCCAACGTTCCCAGAAATGAGCTTTTTACAGCAAGACACATGATGAAAAACGGAGACGAGACTCCAGAGAGCTGCAATCGTTAGGATATTTGTTCTCCACTCTCAGAGTCTCAGATAAGAGATTTTATGTCTACCTTCAGTTTGGGACACGCCATCTGGAGCTGCTGCATACAAACAGGAAGTTCCCCGTCTTTACTGTCCAGCCTTTTGTTGACTTCCAGCAGCTCCAGGTCCGGACAGCATCCCCGCTGGAAAAACAAAAGCCATGCTGAGTGATCCGACTGCACTAACTTTGAAAAGCAGAAAGAGGAGTTGGCGTTTACAGAGACGGCTGCCAGGACGCGGTCATTCTTCAGTCCGTGGGTGAACAGGATCTGTCTGATCTGCTTCCCGTGATTTTCCAGAAACTCCAGCAGCCCTTCAACCTGAAACTACAGTTCCAGAGTGGGAACATCGTTTAGGATCTGGAGTTAAACAGGTCCGAAGCGGAGCTTCGAGCGGTTGGCTTCTCATCAGAAAACATCCACGAACATTCCATTAGAGGCATTCCTGAAGCCGGAAAAGCTGCGTGGTTTATTTAACCTGAAGTTCGTCTCACATTAACTCCAACAACAACGAGTCTTAATTCACACCGGGGTTGGGGTTCGTCCTGGTAATCCAGATGAACCTGGTCAGTGCTCCGGAGCATACAGGTGTGTGTTCACAGCGGTCTGGTGCTGGTCCTGGCTCTGGGCGGTGGTTGGTTGGGATGGTTTGTTTCCAAACACGTTCAAACCCTCCCAGAAAAACACATCGTACTTAAATCACCGTTTTTATTCACGGCTTCACCTTTTCCTCATTTGGTTCTGTTTCAGCCTTAAATGGGTTAAATCCATCCGTTTGTCTCAAACTTCCACACACAACATCATCAGAGTCCGGGTCGCTGGGACGGCAGCTCCAGTACTCACTGGTGTTTGTTTCTACCAACAACCGGAAGCACAGACCTGCTCGCTGCTCTGCACAGAAACACGAACGTGGACGACGCGCCGACGTTTACCTCCGACTGCTGCAGGTCGATGCTCTGGAGGCAGCGGCTGTGCAGACCCAGGCAGCGGAAGGCCTTGGCCGTCACGCTTTTACAGTAGGACAGCCGGAGGGAGCGGAGCTGCGGACAGAACCGTGACACCGCCTGAACGGGAGCAAACACACGAGGAGAGAAACTTCATCAACTCCAGCAGTTCCTGTTCAGATGAATGGTTTCAGCTCCCGCTGGTGAAGCTCACCTCTATCATGAAGTCAGCGTTTTTCTTCCAGTGACAGAGAGAAAAGTCTCTCAGCTGCGAGAACCTGAGGAGAAGAGACACATTTACTCCGTCGGAACATTCAAACTAATCTCCTCCAACGTAAAACGGTTCTTTTTCCTTCTAAGGTGCCAAATCTGGAGACTTTCTGGAGTTTAACTGGTTAACCGACAGCATCATCTACGGATAAAAACATCTACAAGTAAACATAAAGCACAGATTATGATTATTCATCTCCCTTACGGGTCACATGAGCAACAGTCCAAAGCCAGACCTGTTCTGTGCCAGCCAGGTAACGGTGTCCTGAATCTTCCTCTCAGTGTTGGGAAGCCGAATCTTGCCTGGATCGACCCAGCAGTGACCCACGGTGACCCGGCGCCACAGAACCGGGCTGGAGGCTGCAGCGTTCCACAGGCGGCAGACTCTTCCCACCCTGCATCACAAACACAGCAGAACCACGATCGGGCTGTTCAGACAGGTTTGGGCTCACGGGTCTCAGATCAGAAACTTAAAACAGACTCATTGGCTTCTGTAACCTGTGGAGATGACACACACCTGTCAATCACAGGCTAAGGATGCTGGCCGGGTAACGTCTCTATTGTTAAGAATGTTCCCACAGAAACCCGATAACCGGCCAGACCAGACAGCTGAGTGTAAACCCAACAAAGTGGAATACCTGCATAAAAATGGCACGGCGCCATCCTGAACAACCACCATCTGAAAGATATTGACCAGCACCTCTTCAGGTAGAGTTTGTCCCCATCTGTCCCTCACGTCTGTCTGAGACACAGACGGTTTCTTGACCCAATTGTCCTCCTTAGCAGGACCATTTTCCAGTTTAGGTTTGGAACCGGTTGTCTTTTTTGTCCTCATCTGGTTTGGTCTGAACTTCCCTGTAGCCACCTTCCTCTTTCTGCTTCCTTTCTTCCTGGGAGTCCAGCCTGAGCCAATGTACTGAGACGAGGCGTTGGATATGACCAGGAGCATGTCCTCTCCTTGGTGGACGGTGTAGTCGGGCTGATGAGATCTGGATAACCGGACCCTTTTCTGCTTTTTTGTTTTCACCTCCGACTTTCTTTTCAGTGATGCTCTTTTTAACTTTGGTCCATCTTCTCCCTGATTGGCTGCTGCACCCTCCTCTTTCCTGTCAGAGACGGAGGCCTCCATCACTTCTGCCATCTTGACTTTAACCGTCAGAAAGGCATTAAAATCTAAAAAGAAAGATGGATGAGTTAGATCAACCTGGGAGCAGCTGCGTCGCTGTGAAAACGGTCACAGAACTTAAAAATCGACTTATTCTAGAAAACTTCTACATCCTTAAAATCCTGTAGTTATTCAAATGTGCAGCAGAAAGGATGAATGGACCAAAACTCTGTTGGGTTAAGTGGAGATTCATGTCCCAGTGATGGACTAGAGACCTGTCCAGGGTGTCCCCGTCTCTCACCTGGAGACATGGAGACAGACACCGGCGTCCTGAGGCCCTAGGGTGGTCAGAGGGCCACTTTAGCAGCACACCTGCTCCATGATTGACTTATTAAACCGTTACAACAAAACATTCAAGGTTATATGTTCAAATGTGTTTCCTCATCTTGTCTAATAAAATTACTGTTGTGCTTGAACCAATTTTAGTTTCATTTGGAAGCAAAACCATGAAAATAACGCGTTTAAATTCAAACAGGCGAGGATTTAAAACACAAAGAGACGTAAGGCCAGAGATGTTAGCTTAAGCTAATGTGCGGTTTAACCAAAAACGGCTGTCTTGTTGGGACTTAGGCTGATCTTAGCCCCACACATTATTACGGCATTTGTCTATTGGACACTTTGAATTAAGACTTTATTACAATTTCGATCCATACCATTAAGCTGCGCGCGCATCTCCAAATGTTTACAAACGGAAGAAAATGGTGTAGCCGAATAAGCGTTAGGGTTGAACACAGAAGACGACCACGACTGTTAAACGAACATTACCTGGGTAGTAACGATAATATCCAGTTATGTTTCACATTTAAAAAAAAACGTTTACCTTCATTTTACAGCTTTTCTGTTGTACCTGCCCAAATCGTTGAAAAACCCCAGAATGCAGTTCGTGTCCCGCTCGTGATTGGTGGAAATCTTCACTTTGACCCGCCTTCTACAAATTTGACCAATTGCTGAATCATAATTTAACTTTGATAGGCTAAAATATTCCTGTTTGCCCCGCCTTCCATCTTTACCAAAACACGCTCTCTCACTTGATTGGTCAATGCCTCAAAATATGCCCACCTTCTGTAAAACTGACCAATCACAGTGGAGAACAGAGTTTCCCGTTTGTTTTCACCTCATTGCAAAGTTGTGGTCGTCTCGGGGTAAACTTGTCTTCTTTTGAAATCTGTTTCATTTCCAGATGTAACAGGATGACGTCCGAGTATTTAGCTCGACTGTTTAATTCGTCTACCTAGTTGTACTTCCGGCCAGTACAGTAGATGCTAACAGAACAAGTAGCTCAAAGAGGCTAACTGCTAGCATGTAGACGTGCAGGCTCGAGTGGAGCTGGATTCTGTTTGTAGCTGAAAGCTGAATCCCGCTGGAGAGCCTGCGTTTTTCACATTATCGTGTGTAACTAAAAGACACGTAAAAGCCGCGTAGGTTAGTTGTTAAAGTGAGACAAAGATGGTGACGGAGGTCCGTGGGCATCTGCTAACTACAGAAACGAGTCAGGGTGTTGATGTTTATGCAAAGCTGCAACAGTCAGACCTTCAGGACCGTAAAGGTTCTGATCAGATGTGGATAAACCACAATAACCACAACATTTCACTCTATATGACGATAAAGGATCATAGACTTTTATTACTTCATCCACCTATTTTAATACCTGTTGGTTTTAAAGCTTATAGACAGGCATTCTGTGTAAGCTGTCTATAAACATTAAAACAATGGAAGAAGTACACAGAACGGACGACAGTCCTGATTTAAAGCGGTCTTCTGAGGATAATAAAATAAGTTTGTCTATTTTAACAGGTTATGGAGGAAGGTCGAGACTTATCCTTTCATGGGAAAGCGGTTGTAACTGAAGCTAATCTGAGTAAGTTGAGTTTTTTCACACTAAATATCTGGGGGGAAAACCACTTTCAAGCTTTCCCAGCAGTCAGAATTCCCTGGAATATTTTAAAGTTCACCTCCAGATGTTCTGAAGACCCCCATTTGGATCCGAGATGTCAAGGAGCCGACGACCCCACTGCACGTGGTTCGTAGAGAAACCTTGATGCGACCATATCAGTCCTGGGATGTCTCCGGGTCAACGATAGATGAACCGAGCACCTTAAAAATAACTCTGAAGGAGTTTGCGTCAGCTTGGTACTGCGGGTACTATCTTGTTGTTCTCAGCTTCGCAGGTGCGAAAAAGATTTAAAAAGAGTTTGACGATGTGTCAAAACCCTTGCTGGTTAAAGAGGTGCTAAAGATGGCCGGTCTGAAGCTCGCGCTAGAACTGACAAATTACCCAAAGCCATCTTGTTTTAAAGAATTGATATTATGGTTTGGCCAGCCAGTCGGGGGCTGACAAGTTTGAGAGATGTTACCAAGCATCTCAGAACACACCCTCTGTGCTGGAGACTCTGAATCTGGGCTAAAGGTTAACTATGTGTCATGCGTTAACTTAACCTTACACTGTCTTGTATGATGACCTCATCCAGTAAACATGCTAAGCATATATCATTAAACAGATCAATGAACGTTTCATTGCATATAATTATAAAATCTTTCTTCTGGGAATAAAGGAGTTCATTTAAAAGAGTTTCTCTGTGAAGGACCTTGGAGTGGAGAATGTTATTGTTTATCTTTTGTTATCTCTGTCAGCCTCTGATTCCAGCTGGTGTGTGGAAGCAGCTCTGATTTAAAGGGACTACGTGTAGACTTCAAGTCTCCTGTGAGGGGAAAATATTGTAGGTTGTGTCATAGCCAGGTTAAGCTGACCTGGCTGTAGATCTTGACCTGTGGGATCTCGTATCAGACTGATGTCGGTATCGGACTGATGTCGGTATCGGACTGATGTCGGTATCGGACTGATGTCGGTATCGGACTGATGTCGGTATCGGACTGATGTCGGTATCGGACTGATGTCGGTATCGGACTGATGTCGGTATCGGACTGATGTCGGTATCGGACTGATGTCGGTATCGGACTGATGTCGGTATCGGACTGATGTGGTATCGGACTGATGTCGGTATCGGACTGATGTCGGTATCGGACTGATGTCGGTATCGGACTGATGTCGGTATCGGACTGATGTCGGTATCGGACTGATGTCGTATCGGACTGATGTCGTATCGGACTGATGTCGGTATCGGACTGATGTCGGTATCGGACTGATGTCGGTATCGGACTGATGTCGGTATCGGACTGATGTCGGTATCGGACTGATGTCGGTATCGGACTGATGTCGGTATCGGACTGATGTGGTATCGGACTGATGTCGGTATCGGACTGATGTCGGTATCGGACTGATGTCGGTATCGGACTGATGTCAGTATCGGACTGATGTCAGTATCGGACTGATGTCGGTATCGGACTGATGTCGGTATCGGACTGATGTCGGTATCGGACTGATGTCGGTATCGGACTGATGTCGGTATCGGACTGATGTCGGTATCGGACTGATGTCGGTATCGGACTGATGTCGGTATCGGACTGATGTCGGTGTCGGACTGATTTCGTATCAGACTGATTTCGTATCGGACTGATGTCGGTATCGGACTGATGTCGGTATCGGACTGATGTCGGTATCGGACTGATGTCGGTATCGGACTGATGTCGGTATCGGACTGATGTCGGTATCGGACTGATGTCGGTATCGGACTGATGTCGGTATCGGACTGATGTCGGTATCGGACTGATGTCGGTATCGGACTGATGTCGGTATCGGACTGATGTCGGTATCGGACTGATGTCGGTATCGGACTGATGTCGTATCGGACTGATGTCGGTATCGGACTGATGTCGGTATCGGACTGATGTCGGTATCGGACTGATGTCGGTATCGGACTGATGTCAGTATCGGACTGATGTCGGTATCGGACTGATGTCGTATCGGACTGATGTCGGTATCGGACTGATGTCGGTATCGGACTGATGTCGGTATCAGACTGATGTCGTTATCGGACTGATGTCAGTATCGGACTGATGTCGGTATCGGACTGATGTCGGTGTCGGACTGATTTCGTATCAGACTGATGTCGGTATCGGACTGATTTTGTATCAGACTGATGTCGGTATCGGACTGATGTCGGTATCGGACTGATTTTGTATCAGACTGATGTCGGTGTCGGACTGATGTCGGTATCAGACTGATGTCGGTATCGGACTGATGTCGGTGTCGGACTGATGTCGGTATCGGTCAGTACAGAAGGCTGCAATATCGGTATTGTATCGGAAGTGAAGAAGTTGTATCGGGAACATCCCTGAAGAATAGGATTTTTGTTCCAACTGGGTGGAAAACGATGCATTTTCAGGTCACATTTGGGTTCTTGGATGAATTTATTCTTAGTTTTTAGTGATGAACAGCTGCTCAGAAACGAGGGAGTGATATTTTACAAAGCAGCATTTTTCTGATTCCTCTCCAACGTTTCTGTTTTCAGGAGATGAGTATTACTGGAAGCTCGTTGCAGACTTCATTGGCCCTCAGTCTGGAGAGGGACTGGATCTGGAACAGGGGCCGTGCAAAAACAGGTTCATGATTCAAGTTGGACTCATAGTTGAAGACAACAACTTCCCCTGGATTGCCATCGTACACTGGCTGAAGAAAATCTTCCCCGGCCATCAGTCGGCTGACTTCCGGTGTTTGGTTGAACGAGGCATCGCAACGACGTTGAGTCTGGGCGTTGATGCCAGGCTGACCTTCCTGGAATCAAACGTCAACTTCAACTTTGTCGGCCCGATATGCGACAGCATTGGAGTTGAGCGGCAGCACCTGTTGGAGCTGAAGGACTTCTCGGAGCGAGCCCGGTTCATGGAAGTCACCAATGGACTGATTGTTGAACTGATCAACTTTGTCTCCAGGGAGAAGCTCTCCCCGGTCGTCATCGTCACCTGGCTGAAGAACTTCAACCCGGAGTTTTGTACGAGTGGAAACCTCCAGAAGGCGTATAAAAGCATCAAACCCAAGATAAAGAAGTTAAAAATGCACTGTGGCCACTACGAAACCAGACGGCACAGAAAGAACGCGGCGATCGAGGCGCTGCTTCAGAGTCCGTTTGAGCTGGTTCCGAGTAAAATACCAAAGCAGCTCGCAAAGAAACGCATCAGAAGAGAGGATTACGACGTTGTGGTGAAAGAAGAGTGTGAGGGTTATGACGTCTCAAAAGGCGAGGGCTCCGAGGTGGTCAACGTGGCTTGGAGCCAACATCACAGTGACATCAAGTTTGATGAAGGCGTGAATGAATCCAACTGTGGAGCAACAAGCTCGGAGGACAGCAGAGTTTCTCTGACGCTGCTGGACATCGCCATGCTAACGGTCCAAAAGCTGCTGAACGTTTCTGGAGCCAAAATTGAAGCATGCAAGCAAATTTCCTTGGACCTGCTGAAAAACCACTACATCCTGACTTACAAGGAGCATCCGGCCATGGAGGAGTTCGAGAGGAAGGTCGGAGCGCTGCGTCACAAGTGTTCGCTTGTGCCTCCCGTCGTCTTTCTAAACTACAACGCACACTTCCTGGTGCACGTGCATGAGGCGATCGAGCAGCAGATCCTGAACTTTGAGAAGGACATCATCATGTCCACGGGAGAGAAGCTAGGCCGGGACAAGCTACCGACCTTCAAGAACTTTGTGGGTTTGCCTGAAAGCGCTACTTGTTGTTACGTCCACATGGCCTGTGACATCCTGTGCCCCCGCAGCGCCCACCGCCCCGGCAAGCCCAACTACAGGAAACACTGGGTAGCGTTCTGCAAGGAGAAGGGAAACCCCTCCAAACTGGCTGTGAACCTGTCAAACCGCTTCAAAGGTTACTTTGAAGCGGCAGCCGGACTCATCCATCATCACAAAGAGATAGCTCTCTTCTTCTCCGACCTGCTGGCCATGACCAACGAGGCCTGTCCCAACATCATCCTGCAGAGCGTAGCAGCAGACGCTAACGACTCCACCATCCAGAGCTTCGTGTGTGTTCTGGCCATCGTTTACTGTAAGGTCCTCGGCCCCTACTGGCAGCTGCTGAATAGTGGGGGGGAGTACTCGCTCTTCAGCCAGTACCTGCTCTGTTTCTACCAGAAGTTCCTCGACTGGTCCAAAGATCCTTCAACTCTGCTGGAACCGGAGGAGACCACAAATGTTTTCAAGCAATTCCCGCTGCAGGAGAAGGCCCTCGGTGAAGTGTTTAACTACTGCGGGCAGTGGCACGCAAACCGAGAGCTGATCAGGGTGTGTCTGAAGGGTACCATCAAGGTGATAGCTACCGTCACCGAGGAACACCTGAAGGACTTTTTACCTGGAGGAGTTTTCTCCCAAATCCCCTCCGAAGATGTGCGCCTGCAGCTGGTGAGCTGCACGTTCTCCGTCCTCATGGCGGACTATCCCTTCAGTTACGAGGATCTGTACCAGAAGAGAAAACCCGGCAAGGAGGCTTCCTCAAAGACCAGCCAGTGGGACAGCTCCGTGGAGGATGAAGTTAAGTTGAGTTCGTCTGGTGACAGTGATGATGGGGTTTCAGGTGGAACCGGTTCCCTTTTGGGCCAGAAGGAGCATCAGAGCCCTCAGACGAAGAAAGGTTCCAAACCGGCCAACGAGGAGGCGGTGGAGGTGAACATGGACCTGGATTACATCTCAGCGACTGTCAGCAGAAACGGAGGTCCGTGCAAGACCCAACAGGACGTCGACAAACTGCTGCTGCAGCTCGAGGAGAAACCCCGAGTTGAGAAACAAGAGGCTATTCGCTGTGAGTTGGTCTACCAGAAGATGGTTCTGAACAACCCGGACCCCAGACTGGACTGTGTTCTCCAGACCACCACCCAGATGGTGCTGAAGCTGAAGCTCGCACTCCCTCGGGTCAAACCCGGGTACTCCCTGGTGCTGGCCCCCAGGAAGACACGACCAAAAGCTGTGACCCAGACGGCACCAGAACCACCCGCTGCTCAGGTGGTCAACATGCTGGTTTCAGAAGAACATCCAGACTGTCAAACCGAGCAGAAACTAACAAACGCATCCATGTAGCCTTCTGAGGTTCAGCCACCACTTAAATGGTTCTGTAACCGATAGGTTTAACTTTTTCTCTTTTGTTTTCTTCTTCATGAAAGTGAATTTATTAAAACTCCACCGTGGGATCACAAGAGTGGGTCTGTTGTTCACTAACGTCAGAATAAACATTCTTCATTTAGCTTTTCTATTCAGTAAGCCAGGATCATGAGTCAGAAGGTGTTTCAGCTGCAGAACAGGAAATGAAATCATCAATTCAGCCCAACAGGAGACGAGTGGGTCGTAAAACATGGAGGGAAGTGTGTCTGGACTGGTTTACTGAAGGTCCAAAACGCAAAAATAGCTCAAGCTGAAATATGGAAGGAAAACACGCAGATCTGGTTTTCAGGGCCGACTTCAGCAGCTTCTGACCCTCTTCTAATAAATGTGTAATAGTCTAGACCAGGGGTGTCAAAGATGCAGCCCGCGGGCCGAATCCGGCCCGCAAGCGGGTTAAATCCGGCCCGCGGGATGGTTGTGTAAACTTTGTTTTCATACTTTACAATGTAGAGTGAAAATGAACTCATCTTTGTGAGCTAGTTTTCTCTGTAATGAGTATAAATAAAGCTGCGCTCAAGGCTCACACAAGAACTTGAATCACATCCTGAAGATGGCCGCCACTCAGGATGTGACTTCTGATGTTGATGTGCTGGTGAAAGCTAAAAGGTGTAAAGTAAAATGAGTCAAATATACTTTAAGTGCTGCATGAAACTGATCTAGCCATGTGATCTGTAAGCTCTTTGAATCACTAAAGCCGGGCGGACACTGTGCGACTTTTTCACTCGTAGCGTTCAGCTTCAGCTCAAACTGTACGACTTCCTCGCAGAGCAGATCTCACGAGTCGTGTGCTCACACTGTACGTCTGGTAGCAACACGTCGGCCCTAAAAATGTGCTAAAAATAGCAGTTTTTACTCAACACGTCAGACTTTTTTGTCTTGTTTTGCCTGTTGTCCTTCGGGAGCGCTGCAGGAGGACACACAGGGATTTATGGGGGTTGGAGGAGGAAAACGAAATAAAGAAAGTGAATCTGTGTTTAGTGATCAGTTTAATTTGACACGAACACGACAAACACGCTTTCTTGACAATCTTTGTGAGTAAAAAAAAAAAACGTGTAGAAACAAAAACGAACAGCGTGTGTTATTAGGGAAATAGCGAGCGAGCGGCCGGCGTTGATGCAGGATTGCGCGCGCATGCGCCGTGAGCGGTTCTGATACTTTTTGGATCGTAGCTGCTCGCAGCGCCGCTTCAACAGTGCGATACCCTCACGAGAGACGAGCGAAATATTAAACACACCAGAAGTCCCTGCGACCTCACAACTGCTGATCGGCGGCTGGTCATGTGGTGTTAATCGCCTCTCGTAACCCCCGGTACACTACACGACCGCTCGGCGCAAAACTCGCCCTGATGTCGTGGATTCTCGCACGACTGGAAAATCGGCTCAAAAAAGTGAAAAAGTCGCACAGTGTACGCCTGGCTTAAGGGATGTTTATTTTATTTGTTGATTTTTTTATTTTATTTATTTTATTTTTTTCAAAATTTCAAGTACACTTCAGGTGTTGTACTTGTACTACACTGTCCTCAGGCTCCAGCCTAGCTTTATATTGATTGTATTAAAACAAAGAAAACAATCTGAAGTTTTTTATTTTATTTACCGGTCCGGCCCACTTGGGACTAGATTTCCCTCAGTGTGCCCCCTGAGCTAAAACGAGTTTGACACCCCTGCTCTAGACTCTAGACATAAAGCTACAACAGTTTCATGGCCCAGCCATCATCAGTAAGCTGGACATTTACCACCAAGCTCCGCTTTTCTGAGCCAGCTGAGACGTTCGGGGCGGGCCTCCAGCACGCGCAGCCTCACGGGCTACTCGGCTCTCACTTCCGCTCTAGCTTTATGAACGTCATAATCTTTGTTCTGACAGATGAACAGGCAGAAGAAAAACAAGCGCACCCTGTCCAGATGGTGCCTTCACTGTCTGCTGGAACCAGGAACGTTACAGCTCCCACTTGCTAGTTATCTTAAAATTACGAATTCTTCTGGCCAGAAACAACGATTACATTGGCTAATGTGTCCATCTGAAGCAGCAGTTGGTATTCTGGTAGACGTTTGACAACGAAAAATAGAATAACGCCACTAATTTTAATTGTAGTCTTTGAAGTTCCGAGGGACCCCGAATGCATCCGAAGGGACGCGCTTGTCCTCCATTGCCGACAGTTCCGCGGCGCGGTGGGAACCCGGAGCGCCGTAGAGCCGAACCAGCTCCGAACATCGGTCCGTTCTCTCAGCCGAACCCATCGGGACCATGTCCGGCCGCTGGTGGAGCGGTGCCGCGGTGACCCACAGCCTCGTGGCCGTGTTCGCCATGGGCTCCTGGGTCTCCGTCAACAGTCTGTGGGTCGAGCTCCCGGTGGTTGTCAGAGAGCTTCCCGAAGGTCAGTCCGCCTCCGGTCCGGAGAAAGTGCCCCGTCCACGGCTTTCTGATCCCAGACAGACCCGTTAGGGTCATTTCTGTGGCTTTAACCCACACCAGACGTTATTACACAGTTATAACGTCACAGTTATAAGTTATATATGTATGTCGACGATGGTTATAACCCAGCGGCTCTGTAATCTAATTATTGATCATTTATGGAGCCGTTCACTTGCAAAAGAACGCGATTGTCCAGGGTCAGAGGTCACGCTGAGTGAGATGATCTACAAACTAACACATTCGCACAACTAAACTTACTTTAGTATTTAACCTTCAAAAGGTTTTTCTGTCTTTGTTTAAATGTTTCTCCAGATCAGCTGAGTGGATGAATGACTGCTGTAAAGCTCCTTGGGGGGTCGGAGAACCCGGCTTTTGTTTGTTTGTTTGTTTGTTTGTTTTGCTTAAACATATGACGTCTAAGTTCTTACTCACTTTATCTCCATTTTCTGAATTCTTTTTTATATTTGAAGTTTTTGTTTTTGTGACTTTTACCTGGAGAGGCGACCTGGAACAGATCGTTTTCTTTCTTTTGTCGCTTTTCTTAACGAATTAGAATTCAGATTTGGGCTGGTTTTAGGAAGTTCTACATTTCTAAGAACATTTTAGTTTTATTGCTCCAGGACATCGAGGCGTGCAGGTCGGATAACAGCTGACTCGTCTCACCCTGGTCAGTCACCACGACTCGCTCACATCTGGCTGGAGGCTCCGATCCATTCGGACCAGAACCTCTCGCCCTCTGCGGCCGGACTCAACAATCCTAGACCCGCCCACTCCAGCTGCTTTGTTCCAGTCACATGACCCAGTGTTGTGATTGCACCTGATCTGACCCGCTCTGACCAGAACCTACACTGACTTGTATAAAGTAGCTGCTTCTCTAATTATTGCCTCTTTAATTTATCATTTCGTTGTTTTTTTCTTAATTAAATTTTGCTTATCTTTTCATTTTTCTTGCACCAAGTACAGCAGTAATGTGATCCTCGCACCGATTCTGATTCTGACCCGATTCTGGTTCTGAACATTTTAACTTCACCGGCAAACATCTGGAGCCCTAACAAAACAATAAAAATGTTGAAAGCCTCTCAGATTTTCTGAGTTTTATTTGATTGTCTAGTCCAGGGGTCGGCAACCCGCGGCTCTTCCATCCATCTGATGCGGCTCTCTGTGCTTGTAAAATAATGAATGGATATTTAAATAAAATGCTTTATATTTTACTGCATTAATTTTACATCTGTATGCTAATTCTAAATGTAAGATTGTCTGCGTAAACCTGAACAGGTCCAACCCGGTCTACTGTGTGACCGGGTTGACGCGTCACGCTTGTGCGTAATCATATGCGTGTTCTGAGCTGACGAGGATGTGAGATTCTGGGATTCTCCTCAGACGGCTCCTGGATGCGTCGCCACATTGGAGACAGGAACAAGCGCTATTCAGCCAAAGTTTCATAATCAGGGAACATTTTCTAAGTGACAAGTCTCTCTGAGAGACCGGGGTTTGGAAAACTCTCGCTTCAGTGGGAGGAATCTTCCTGCATGCGCTCTGGTTCTGCGACGCGCTCCAAGCCCCTCTCCACATCTTCAGCTCGCTGTGGACCTTATGTACGTGTTGACAGTGAGCTGCGCTGAGCAGGGCCCAGCTCAGATGTTCAGATGGGAATCTTTTCTTGAGTGATTTAGCTACATCTGCGATGTGCGAAACGAATAAAATGTCAGTTCGTCTGCATGCGTCGGGGTAATTCTTTCTATTCTTTCTCCGTCAAAATAAACGGTCAAACACGGGAACTGTCCGATCAACACAAGTCCTGCTTTTAACTGTTCTGTTATCTTGTGAAAAGAGATATAATTTAACGTGATTAACACCAGAGCCAGGCGCACTGCGCCGTTATCTCCGTCACTGTAAATGAGGGAAAAACAAAATGATCGGATCCTTTTCTGACCTTCCCCACCTACAAAGTTGAATTACAACAATCAAACGTGACAGAGCCTGGATTTGTATTCTGAACAGTCTAAACATGTTTTAAAAAGAAACGTATGACAAAAGTGGCACCTGCTCAGTAAAACCACCAACAGGGTGAAAAATATCAAAATATTGTAGCAGAGACGGGCTACAACTTCTGGATCCACTTTATATAAATCCTTTTATTGATTATCTTCTTATGAAAGATAACTTTGACGTACACGAGCGACCGGTACCGGCTGCTGTCACCTGTTGTGATTGGTTAAAGCAGCTCTCTGCTGTCTGAGGGTAGGCCCCGCCCACAACGCCGCGGCTGCTGCGGTGTTTTCTTTACTGTGGGAAACGGGTAATAATGGCTCTTTGATGGGAACAGGTTGCCGACCCCTGGTCTAGAAGAAACCAGATGGTGAGACATCCACTGATGCAGTTTTCCCGTTTCCAGGATGGAACCTTCCGGCGTACCTGTCAGTGATGATTGCGTTGGGGAACCTCGGCCCGATGGTGGTGACGGTGGTGCATCACTGTGCTCCCGGATGGTTGAACGACCGTGTTGTGATCCACTGCATCCAGGCGCTGGCGGTGGTGGCGTCTGCCTTCCTGGCCATCTTCTGGTCTCACCGGGTCGGCGTAGCTGAAACGGAGCGGTCGCTGCCCTTCCTGCTGCTCACGTTTGTGTTGGCCTTGGTTTGTTGCACGTCCAACGTCACCTTCCTGCCCTTCATGTTCCGATACCCTCCTCAGTACATCCGGACGTTTTTCATCGGCCAGGGCCTCAGCGCCCTGTTTCCCTGCGTGGTGGCGCTGGGGCAGGGCGTGAGTCAGCTGGAGTGCCGGATGGTGAACGGCACGGTCCAGCCCGAGTACCTGCAGGAGAACTTTCCCGCCCAGGACTTCTTCTGGTTCCTGTTTGTGATGCTGTTGGTCTCGGCTCTGAGTTTTCTGGCTCTAACCTGGGGACGGGCCGAATCGCCGCAGGAGTCCGACGGCGCTGCAGAGGTGAGAAATGGAGAGGAGACGCACCGGCTGTGCAGCGGAGGAGCGCCAGTGCCTGAGAAGGAGGTGCAGGTGGAGGAGCAGCCGCCTGCTCCCGGGTTTTGGACTCAGAGGAACATTTACCTGCTGGTGCTGCTGGCCGCCTCCAACGCCCTCACCAACGGGGTCCTTCCATCTGTGCAGAGCTTCACCTGTCTGCCCTACAGCACCATGACCTTTCACCTCTCCGTGGTCCTCGGAAACATAGCAAACCCCCTGGCCTGCTTCCTGGCCATGTTCGTCGTCCTCAGGTAAGACCCGTTAGTCCAGAACCACGACCTGGTCCAGAACCTCCTGGTGAGCGGTTCTCCAGACTTTTCCAGTTTTCAGATATTTCCGAGGACATCCTGTTCTGGTCCGAAAACGGACCCGGATCTGGACCATAGAACCGGACCTGGACCGGTCCTGGACTGGACCTGGACCATAGAACCGGACCTGGACTGGACCTGGACCATAGAACCGGACCTGGACTGGATCTGGACAATAGAACCGGACCTGGACTGGACTTGGACCATAGAACCGGACCTGGACGATAGAACTGGACCTGGACCGGACCTTGACAATTGAACCGGACCTGGACCGGACCTGGACTGGGCCTGGACCATAGAACCGGACCTGGACAATAGAAGTGAACCTGGACCGGACCTTGACCATTGAACCGGACCTGGACCATAGAACCGGACCTGGACTGGATCTGGACAATAGAACCGGACCTGGACTGGACTTGGACCATAGAACCGGACCTGGACCATAGAACAGGACCTGGACTGGATCTGGACCGGATCTTGACCATTGAACCGGACCTGGACCATAGAACCGGACCTGGACTGGATCTGGATCATAGAACTGGACCTGGACCGGACCTGGACTGGACTTGGACCATAGAACCGGACCTGGACTGGACTTGGACCATAGAACCAGACCTGGACCATAGAACCGGACCTGGACTGGACCTGGACCATAGAACCGGACCTGGACCGGACCTGGACTGGACCTGGACCATAGAACCGGACCTGGACTGGACCTGGACCATAGAACCGGACCTGGACTGGATCTGGACAATAGAACCGGACCTGGACTGGACTTGGACCATAGAACCGGACCTGGACCATAGAACTGGACCTGGACCGGACCTTGACCATTGAACCGGACCTGGACCGGACCTGGACTGGGCCTGGACCATAGAACCGGACCTGGACATTAGAAGTGGACCTGGACCGGACCTTGACCATTGAACCGGACCTGGACCATAGAACCGGACCTGGACTGGATCTGGACAATAGAACCGGACCTGGACTGGACTTGGACCATAGAACCGGACCTGGACCATAGAACAGGACCTGGACTGGATCTGGACCGGACCTTGACCATTGAACCGGACCTGGACTGGATCTGGATCATAGAACTGGACCTGGACCGGACCTGGACTGGACTTGGAACATAGAACCAGACCTGGACCATAGAACCGGACCTGGACTGGACCTGGACCATAGAACCGGACCTGGACTGGACCTGGACCATAGAACCGGACCTGGACTGGACCTGGACCATAGAACCGGACCTGGACTGGATCTGGACAATAGAACCGGACCTGGACTGGACTGGACTTGGACCATAGAACCGGACCTGGACCATAGAACTGGACCTGGACCGGACCTTGACCATTGAACCGGACCTGGACCGGACCTGGACTGGGCCTGGACCATAGAACCAGACCTGGACAATAGAAGTGGACCTGGACCGGACCTTGACCATTGAACCGGACCTGGACCATAGAACCGGACCTGGACTGGATCTGGACAATAGAACCGGACCTGGACTGGACTTGGACCATAGAACAGGACCTGGACTGGATCTGGACCGGACCTTGACCATTGAACCGGACCTGGACCATAGAACAGGACCTGGACTGGATCTGGACCGGACCTTGACCATTGAACCGGACCTGGACTGGATCTGGATCATAGAACTGGACCTGGACCGGACCTGGACTGGACTTGGACCATAGAACCGGACCTGGACTGGACTTGGAACATAGAACCAGACCTGGACCATAGAACCGGACCTGGACTGGACCTGGACCATAGAACCGGACCTGGACTGGACCTGGACCATAGAACCGGACCTGGACTGGATCTGGACAATAGAACCGGACCTGGACTGGACTTGGACCATAGAACCGGACCTGGACGATAGAACTGGACCTGGACCGGACCTTGACAATTGAACCGGACCTGGACCGGACCTGGACTGGGCCTGGACCATAGAACCGGACCTGGACAATAGAAGTGGACCTGGACCGGACCTTGACCATTGAACCGGACCTGGACCATAGAACCGGACCTGGACTGGATCTGGACAATAGAACCGGACCTGGACTGGACTTGGACCATAGAACCGGACCTGGACCATAGAACAGGACCTGGACTGGATCTGGACCGGATCTTGACCATTGAACCGGACCTGGACCATAGAACCGGACCTGGACTGGATCTGGATCATAGAACTGGACCTGGACCGGACCTGGACTGGACTTGGACCATAGAACCGGACCTGGACTGGACTTGGACCATAGAACCAGACCTGGACCATAGAACCGGACCTGGACTGGACCTGGACCATAGAACCGGACCTGGACCGGACCTGGACTGGACCTGGACCATAGAACCGGACCTGGACTGGACCTGGACCATAGAACCGGACCTGGACTGGATCTGGACAATAGAACCGGACCTGGACTGGACTTGGACCATAGAACCGGACCTGGACCATAGAACTGGACCTGGACCGGACCTTGACCATTGAACCGGACCTGGACCGGACCTGGACTGGGCCTGGACCATAGAACCGGACCTGGACAATAGAAGTGGACCTGGACCGGACCTTGACCATTGAACCGGACCTGGACTGGATCTGGACAATAGAACCGGACCTGGACTGGACTTGGACCATAGAACCGGACCTGGACCATAGAACAGGACCTGGACTGGATCTGGACCGGACCTTGACCATTGAACCGGACCTGGACTGGATCTGGATCATAGAACTGGACCTGGACCGGACCTGGACTGGACTTGGACCATAGAACCGGACCTGGACTGGACTTGGACCATAGAACCAGACCTGGACCATAGAACCGGACCTGGACTGGACCTGGACCATAGAACCGGACCTGGACTGGACCTGGACCATAGAACCGGACCTGGACTGGATCTGGACAATAGAACCGGACCTGGACTGGACTTGGACCATAGAACCGGACCTGGACGATAGAACTGGACCTGGACCGGACCTTGACAATTGAACCGGACCTGGACCGGACCTGGACTGGGCCTGGACCATAGAACCGGACCTGGACAATAGAAGTGGACCTGGACCGGACCTTGACCATTGAACCGGACCTGGACCATAGAACCGGACCTGGACTGGATCTGGACAATAGAACCGGACCTGGACTGGACTTGGACCATAGAACCGGACCTGGACCATAGAACAGGACCTGGACTGGATCTGGACCGGATCTTGACCATTGAACCGGACCTGGACCATAGAACCGGACCTGGACTGGATCTGGATCATAGAACTGGACCTGGACCGGACCTGGACTGGACTTGGACCATAGAACCGGACCTGGACTGGACTTGGACCATAGAACCAGACCTGGACCATAGAACCGGACCTGGACTGGACCTGGACCATAGAACCGGACCTGGACTGGACCTGGACCATAGAACCGGACCTGGACTGGATCTGGACAATAGAACCGGACCTGGACTGGACTTGGACCATAGAACCGGACCTGGACCATAGAACTGGACCTGGACCGGACCTTGACCATTGAACCGGACCTGGACCGGACCTGGACTGGGCCTGGACCATAGAACCGGACCTGGACAATAGAAGTGGACCTGGACCGGACCTTGACCATTGAACCGGACCTGGACCATAGAACCGGACCTGGACTGGATCTGGACAATAGAACCGGACCTGGACTGGACTTGGACCATAGAACCGGACCTGGACCATAGAACAGGACCTGGACTGGATCTGGACCGGATCTTGACCATTGAACCGGACCTGGACCATAGAACCGGACCTGGACTGGATCTGGATCATAGAACTGGACCTGGACCGGACCTGGACTGGACTTGGACCATAGAACCGGACCTGGACTGGACTTGGACCATAGAACCAGACCTGGACCATAGAACCGGACCTGGACTGGACCTGGACCATAGAACCGGACCTGGACTGGACCTGGACCATAGAACCGGACCTGGACTGGACCTGGACCATAGAACCGGACCTGGACTGGACCTGGACCATAGAACCGGACCTGGACTGGACCTGGACCATAGAACCGGACCTGGACTGGACCTGGACCATAGAACCGGACCTGGACTGGACCTGGACCATAGAACTGGACTCTAAGCGCCCTCCTTTGCTCCCCGCCTGTTACAGGTCTTCGGCGGGTCTGGGCTTCCTGTCTCTGGCTGCAGGCGTGTTTGCGGCGTATCTGATGGCGTTGGCGGCGCTCAGCCCCTGCCCCCCGCTGCTGGGAAACCCCGTGGCTGGTGTGACGTTGGTGGTGAGTCAGAACGTTTATCTGCTGTCAGTGGTAGAGAAGTTCCAGGAATCATCCTTAGGCCATTAATCTGATGCTCAATCTGTGGGATTATTAGTTTATTCAGCATGTCCCCCCTCCCCCGACAGGTCATCTCCTGGGTCCTTTTCACCGGAATGTTCTCCTACCTGAAGGTGGTGGTTGGGATTTTACTCCACGAGGCGGGTCACGCTGCACTGCTGTGGTGTGGCATCTCCATCCAGGTGGGCTCGCTGGTCGGAGCGCTGGTCATGTTCCCGCTGGTGAACGTCTACCAGGTGTTCACCAGAGCCCAGGACTGTGTGGACAACCACTGCAGTTAGCAGCGTTCCCGACTCAACGGTCTCGGAACTGAATTCACAAACATTCCAGGATGGGGAGGAGCTAGCCGTTTGCCCGTGGTTCCGCGGGACTGATGAAGGTCCGGGACAAACCAACTCATGTTGGTTCTGATTCTGTTTACCGTGTAACCAGCAAATCCTCACAAACAGGAAAAGTTCACAACATTCCTGTGTCAAGCCAAAATTCACTATGCCTCCATTTTAACTCGGTACACCTCATGAGAATCGGGTCGGTCCGCCTTAGCCTTCAGTACCACCCTAAGGACCGCTACTCAGAGCAGCTCGGCCCAACCGCTGTTCCCAAGGGTGCGGTTCCGTTTGTTCCCTCTAGTTTGTTCCCTCTACGTTCTCCCATTTTTAGTAGGGAAGCACCGATCAGGTTTTTTGCTGCCGATCACCGATACCGATATCAAAGAATGCTGCTCACCGATACCGATCACGTGGATTGGCCAGAAATTATCTACAACATTATAATGAGTGCTACAAACTACATAATCTGGGAATAAAGGAAATGTAACCTAATCTAAAATAGTCTGTAGTAGGGTTGTCACGGTGTGAAACTTTAACCTCACGGTTATTGTGACCAAAATTACCACGGTTTTCGGTATTATGGCGGTATTTTTTTAAACGTGCTACATTTTCACACAACTAAATAAACCCTGTATGTCAGGAAATATTGTCCTCAGTTTGTGTCTAAATTTTGCCTAAAATGTGTTATTTTGTAATTATGTTGTTTATTTGTTTACATTTTTCCCCTTTAGTCTTTAAAATACCAATATTTGCCCATAACTTCTTATTTTTGTCTGTTTGATGTCATCATTTTAAAAATATTAGATCAGATGATACTCAGTACTCAAGTAGCCTTCTAATCAGATACTTTTTTACCCTTACCTGAGTAATAAACCCTATATCAGGAAAATATCGTCCTCGGTTTGTGTCCTTCCAGTGAGCTTTGCAGATGTGGGAAAATGTCATCAGGCAGTAATCGTTGTTAAATTCATAATTATTCTCGGAGAGAGACCAACTCTTATCTGCCCCTGGGAGCCCCGTAATGCATAGCGTCATTTCAACATGGCGGTGTCCGCGACACGGTTTATATGCAGGTAGCGGCGCTGCGGCTGCTTTACATAGCGACTCGTTGCATTCTCCCTCAACCCAAATCCTCGGATCACGCATTTTAGCTAAAACGCTAACGTTAGCTTGCCTTGCGTTGACTGTAGAGTTGTGGGTGATGGTCACGCAGATGTGTCATGAGATGTGAAGCGTTGCTGCCTTTCACAGACACTTTTTCTGCTCGTGCTGCAAACAGGATAGCCGTCTTCTATCAGCTGTCCCTCGGCATTCTTCAAATATCCAAAAGATGCCCGTACTTCCCACTTTGTCTTCTTTGAGGGATAATAAATGTCCCAAGCGCTGCCGTCTCCTCCTTTGGCCATTATTTCAGCTTCAGCTTCAAGAAAGTTTTGGTTGTAAACAACAAAGTGCGCATGTGCCGCCGGCAACTTCAGCAGATGATACGGTGGCTGGTAAGGGTCACCGCGCCTACACCGCAGCCACGGTAACCCACCGAGATAATATAGTTTTTTAAAAACAAGACGGTTATTATTATTGTCAACTTTTTTTCACCGGGGTTTACTGCTACACCGGTTACCATGACAACCCTACCTGATCGCTCTGCTTTGATCTATTTTGAAAACTCTGATTAAAACCGATAGGGGCGCTATCGGCCGATTGGGATCAAATGCCGATCCATCGGTGCATCCCTAGTTTTTAGTCCCTGCTCTGTTGAGGTATCTGGCAAGGCTGAGTCAGGCAGTAACGTGATTCTGGCTACTGATTGGCTACGGGGCGGAGTCACTGGTTGCTCCATTTCCTGGTTCAGAGTCTGACCAAAAGCCGTAAAGCTGAGCAGAATGTCCAGCAACACCACCGTGTTCCTGTGGAGCGTGCAGGTTACCTCACACTGTTCATTGATCACCTCGTGTTATTCTGTCACGAGTAGGAGTCACGCACCCACACATAATCTGAACTCTGAGTGTGTGTGAAAGTTAGAATTAACCAGCTCTACTGCGGGTAGGAGGTGGAGGTGGGGACCTCACTGAGCCAAGGCTGTGTTCCATCTTACTTTAAAAATGCAGTAGTGACTCCTCTCTTAAAGAAACCCAAGCTTGACGCCAGCTCCACCAGTAACTTTAGGCCCATTTCTAAGCTACCTTTCATCAGCAAAGTACGTGAGCAGGTTGTTGAAACCCAACTCAGATCCTGGTTTTCTAAGTCAAAGATCTCTGACCCCTTCCAGTCTGGCTTTCTGAAGCAGCACTCAACTGAGACTGCTCTAGAAAGGGTGCATAATGACCTCCTGATGGCTGCTGATGCAGGGAAATGCTCTGTCATGGTCCTGCTAGACCTCAGTGCAGCTTTTGACACTGTAGACCACAACGTTCTACTAAACAGGTTAAATGCCCTGGCTGGGATTTCAGGTTCTGCTCTAGACTGGCTCTCTTCCTATCTCACCAACAGAACATTCACAGTGAAGTCCGAAACCTTCTCTTCAGATACTGCCTCTCTAACATGCGGGGTCCCACAAGGTTCAGTTCTAGGGCCTGTACTATTCGCATTCTATATTCTTCCTCTAGCTGGCATCATTCAGTCTTTCCCAGACATCTCCTACCACATCTACGCTGACGATATACAGCTTTATATGTCCTTCATGCCACACCAGTTGGACAGGCTGGCCACCCTTGTACTCTGCCTGACCCAGATCAGTAACTGGCTGTCCAGCAACTTTCTTGTCCTCAATGCTAACAAGACAGAGACCCTGATCGCTGCACCCCCGGAACTTCAGCCAAAAATCGAGCAAGAAATTGCATCGTTTTGCCCATCAGCCAAGGCCAACAGTAGAAACCTGGGAGTTATTTTTGTTCCAGCTTTAAGTTTAGACTCACACGTCAAAACCATCTCCCGCTCTTGTTTCTTTCAACTGAGAAACATTTCAAAAGTCCGTAAACTGGTTTCTACTGCAGATCTGGAAAAAATCATCCATGCCTTTGTGTCATCACGCTTAGACTACTGTAACGCTCTTTTTACTGGTCTCAGCAAAACCTCCCTCTCACGCCTTCAAGCCATCCAAAATGCAGCAGCCAGACTCCTAACCAAATCCAGCAGACGAGCTCACATCACTCCAGGTTTACAGTCCCTCCACTGGCTCCCGGTAGAATATAGAATACAGTTTAAAGTTTTAGTCCTGACCTATAGAGCTCTTAACAACCAGGCTCCAAGCTACCTATCTGAGCTTTTATCCCCACACATCACCTCTCAGAACCTTAGATCCACATCTGAAAACCTCCTGGCTGTTCCTGGAACCAGACTGAAAACCAAAGGGGACAGGGCCTTTCAGACTATTGCCCCCAGACTTTGGAACAGTCTACCTTCAAATCTCCGTCTCTCTAACACTGTAGAGGTCTTTAAAAATCATCTAAAAACTCACCTTTTCATCCAGGTGTTCTCTCCCTAAATGTTTCAGAATGATGGCTTTGTTCGGGTTCACACCTTCACTTTGTTTATACTCATGATTTTATTTTCTACTTTATCACTGCTATTGTTTTTCTGATGTTTTTATTGGTTAGTGTTATTTGCCCTGATCTTTATCATGTTGTACAGCGCTTTGTGATTTATATCTGTGAAAGGCGCTCTATAAATAAACTTTTACTTACTTACTCTGGTCTGGTGATGCAAAGCAGCCGTCTGATTGGCTGGTTAGCTGTTAACGAGCAGCTCAACAGGTGTACCTAATAAAGTGTCCGGCGAGTGTACCTCAATATTCTATGTTAGTTTTTTGTTCTCCTTTTGTTACTAGTTATGTTTAACTAGTTAGTTTCCTCAACCCATTTCACAGCCTCACTCGTTGACTCATTAACCAATTAACGTGTTAATGAGTTAACTAATTATGGGATGGGGCCACCGTAGTCAGTAAGTTAATAATTGTTAGGCATTTTATTCATTAACTAGCTAACTGTGCCCAGCTGCTCCAAACCTGTAAGTCTGAGTCATGGGCTCTATGGCGGAGCTCCGTCGCAGAGCCTATCACATCTGTGTCACATCCGTATCACATCCGTATCACATCTGTGTCTCATCCTTATCACATCTGTGTCTCATCTGTATCACATCTGTGTCTCATCCGTATCACATCTGTGTCTCATCCGTATCACATCTGTGTCTCATCCGTATCACATCTGTGTCTCATCCGTATCACATCTGTGTCTCATCCGTATCTCATCCGTATCACATCTGTGTCTCATCTGTATCACATCTGTGTCTCATCTGTATCACATCTGTGTCACATCTGTGTCTCATCCGTATCACATCTGTGTCTCATCCGTATCACATCTGTGTCTCATCTGTATCACATCTGTGTCACATCTGTGTCTCATCCGTATCACATCTGTGTCTCATCCGTATCACATCTGTGTCTCATCTGTATCACATCTGTGTCTCATCCGTATCACATCTGTGTCTCATCTGTATCGCATCTGTGTCTCATCCGTATCACATATGTGTCTCATCTGTATCACATCTGTGTCTCATCCGTATCACATCTGTGTCTCATCTGTATCACATCTGTGTCTCATCCGTATCACATCTGTATCACATCTGTGTCTCATCCGTATCACATCTGTGTCTCATCCGTATCACATCTGTGTCTCATCTGTATCGCATCTGTGTCTCATCTGTATCACATCTGTGTCTCATCCGTATCACATCTGTGTCTCATCTGTATCACATCTGTGTCTCATCCGTATCACATCTGTGTCTCATCTGTATCGCATCTGTGTCTCATCCGTATCACATATGTGTCTCATCTGTATCACATCTGTGTCTCATCCGTATCACATCTGTGTCTCATCTGTATCACATCTGTGTCTCATCCGTATCACATCTGTATCACATCTGTGTCTCATCCGTATCACATCTGTGTCTCATCCGTATCACATCTGTATCACATCCGTATCACATCTGTGTCACATCTGTATCACATCTGTATCACATCCGTATCACATCTGTATCACATCTGTGTCACATCTGTGCTGGTTGATGATTTATTCCTGATTCCTGACGGCGTCCTGCAGGAGAGCAGAACCGGGTCCAAACTCCTGGTTTTCCTCATTTTATCCAGATAAGTCATCTGTTGTCTGTCGCTGTCGTTGTGTCCTTGGGCAAGACACTTAACCCACATTGCCTGCTGGTGGTGGTCGGAGGGACCGGTGGCGCCAGTGCTCGGCAGCCTCGCCTCTGTCAGTGCGCCCCAGGGCAGCTGTGGCTACATTGTAGTTCATCCCCACCAGTGTGTGAATGTGTGTGTGAATGGGTGAATGACTGATTGTGTTGTAAAGCGCCTTGGGGGGTTCCAGGACTCTAGAAGGCGCTATATCAAATACAGGCCATTTACCATTTACCATTTTTATCTGTGAAGGAGAATCACTGCAGGTGGAACGCCGGCGCTCCGGACGGACTCGTCCATGTGTTCAGAACCATCCCAGGCACAGAGCAGCAGATCCTGGTTCTTCTCTGGCCTGGTTCCTACTCCTATCTAGGTCAGAGTCTCAGGGGCCAGACGGGACGGGGTGGCTGCCTGGACCACCTCAGCCGGCTCCTTTGGATGAGGAGGAGCAGCGGCTCTGCTCCGAGCTCCTCCTCCTGCTTCTGTAGCTTTTTCTTTGGGCTGAAGCTCCGAAGCGTCGCTGAGGGTTCAGACCTGATCCGGTCTCTCCTGAACCAGACCCTCTGTGTCCGCTAATATTAAACCCGCTCCTGCAGCACATTCAGAACCAGATCAATCCGGACCGGGCTGGAGGGGAACCAGGTTTTCCTGAGGTCCTGATTTACTTCTTGGTGTTGTGGGACTCGGTGTAAACTCACCCGAGTCTCGATCGGCTCCAGCTGCTGCAGATGTTAGCTGCCTTTAACCCTTTAGCTGCTGCTCTCTGTGACCTAAGCCTGTCCAGATGTTTACAGATGAGTTCTGTTCATATCCATGACGTTTTCCTGTTGGAGTCATGTGACACGTCTGATCTGAAATAAAGTGAGCTCTTTGAGTCTGGCTGAAGATGGTTCCACTCTAAAACAGATGAAAGCGTTCAGATGTTTAGATGTTGTTGTGACGTAAAATCCTGGAGCACAAAGACTTCTTGTTGTGTGAGTCCGAGTCTGCTCCCGTGATCCCGTAAGAAGAATTAGTGGATTCTGCAGATTCCTGAAAGCATCTCGCTGCAGCAGGAAGCAGAACATGGCAGTGGAGGTCGGTTCTGACAGCGCGTCACCGATGACCCTAGAAGACCCGGCGCTGATGATGGTTGGCTGCTGGACCGCCCCCCGCAGGGTTTAATCCCTAATCACCGCTCCTGCAGGACTTTGGATTCTTTCTGTCTGCAAACTCCAAACTCTCCAAGTAGCAGGTGAGTTTTTACCTTTGATGTTGTTTTGATATCAGCTGATCTTCAACTTGACAAGCAGCTGCTGAATGTTGTTCTGTCTGATGAAGCAGAACTCCTGCAGGTGATTCTGGTGTCTGAATCCCAGACCAGGATCAGAACCGGGACTCACTCGAGCAACATTCAGAGAATTTTTCAGCTGCACCACATTAAACAGTTGAGAAAGATTAACAGGATGTGGTAATAATTCAGTTATGCTGGCAAGGCGAGGCTTTGTCTGGTCACTCATTCATCTGCTGCTGCTGCTTAATCTGCTGTTGCTGCTTAATCTGTTGCTTAATCTGCTGCTGCTTAATCTGCTGTTGCTGCTTAATCTGTTGCTTAATCTGCTGTTGCTTAATCTGTTGCTTCATCTACTGCTGCTTAATCTGCTGTTGCTTCATCTGCTGCTGCTTAATCTGTTGCTTCATCTACTGCTGCTTAATCTGCTGTTGCTTCATCTGCTGCTGCTTAATCTGTTGCTTCATCTTCTGCTGCTTAATCTGCTGTTGCTGCTTAATCTGTTGCTTCATCTACTGCTGCTTGATCTGCTGCTGCTGCTTAATCTGTTGCTTCATCTACTGCTGCTTAATCTGTTGCTTCATCTACTGCTGCTTAATCTGTTGCTTCATCTACTGCTGCTTAATCTGCTGTTGCTGCTTAATCTGTTGCTTCATCTACTGCTGCTTGATCTGCTGTTGCTGCTTAATCTGTTGCTTCATCTACTGCTGCTTAATCTGTTGCTTCATCTACTGCTGCTTAATCTGCTGCTGCTGCTTCATCTGCTGTTGCTTCATCTACTGCTGCTTAATCTGTTGCTTCATCTACTGCTGCTTAATCTGCTGCTTCATCTGCTGTTGCTTCATCTACTGCTGCTTAATCTGTTGCTTCATCTGCTGCTGTTGCTTAATCTGTTACTTCATCTGCTGCTGCTTAATCTGTTGCTTCATCTACTGCTTCGTAATCTGCTGTTGCTGCTTAATCTGTTGCTTCATCTACTGCTGCTTGATCTGCTGCTGCTGCTTAATCTGTTGCTTCAACTACTGCTGGTTAATCTGTTGCTTCATCTACTGCTGCTTGATCTGCTGCTGCTGCTTAATCTGTTGCTTCAACTACTGCTGCTTAATCTGTTGCTTCATCTACTGCTGCGTAATCTGCTGTTGCTGCTTAATCTGTTGCTTCATCTACTGCTGCTTGATCTGCTGCTGCTGCTTAATCTGTTGCTTCAACTACTGCTGCTTAATCTGTTGCTTCATCTACTGCTGCTTGATCTGCTGCTGCTGCTTAATCTGTTGCTTCAACTACTGCTGCTTAATCTGTTGCTTCATCTACTGCTGCTTCATCTGCTGTTGCTTCATCTACTGCTGCTTAATCTGTTGCTTCATCTACTGCTGCTTAATCTGTTGCTTCATCTACTGCTGCTTAATCTGCTGCTGCTGCGTCATCTGCTGTTGCTTAATCTGCTGCTGCTTAATCTGTTGTTTCATCTGCTGCTGCTCTTCATCTGCTGCTGCTGCTTAATCTGTTGCTTCATCTACTGCTGCTTAATATGTTGCTTCATCTGATGCTGCTGCTTAATCTGTTGTTTCATCTACTGCTGCGTAATCTGTTGCTTCATCTACTGCTGCTTAATCTGCTGTTGCTGCTTAATCTGTTGCTTCATCTACTGCTGCGTAATCTGTTGCTTCATCTACTGCTGCTTAATCTGCTGCTGCTGCTTAATCTGTTGCTTCATCTACTGCTGCTTAATCTGCTGCTGCTGCTTCATCTGCTGTTGCTTCATCTACTGCTGCTTAATCTGTTGCTTCATCTACTGCTGCTTAATCTGTTGCTTCATCTACTGCCGCTTCATCTGCTGCTGCTGCTTAATCTGTTGCTTCATCTGATGCTGCTTCATCTGCTGCTGCTGCTTAATCTGCTGCTGCTGCTTAATCTGCTGATGCTTAATCTGCTGCTGCTTAATCTGTTGCTTCATCTACTGCTGCTTCATCTGCTGCTGCTGCTTAATCTGCTGCTGCTTAATCTGTTGCTTCATCTACTGTTGCTTAATCTGCTGTTGCTGCTTAATCTGTTGCTTCATCTACTGCTGCTTAATCTGTTGCTTCATCTGCTGCTGCTCTTCATCTGCTGCTGCTGCTTAATCTGTTGCTTCATCTACTGCTGCTTCATCTGCTGCTGCTTCATCTACTGCTGCTTAATCTGTTGCTTCATCTACTGCTGCTTAATCTGCTGCTGCTGCTTCATCTCCACTGGTTGCCCGTGCAGTTCAGGATAAACTTCAAAATTATGCTTCTCACTTACAAATCCTTGAACCATCAAGCTCCTCCATATCTGTGTGAACTTGTCCATTACTACAACCCGCCGCGTGCTCTCAGGTCTGAAGATAAGCTCCTCCTAGCTGTTCCCAATGCACGTTTAAAAAGCCGTGGAGAGAGGGCTTTCTCTGTCTGTGCACCCAAGCTGTGGAACGCATTACCACTGCTAGTGAGGCTAGCACCAACAGCTAGCATTTTTAAATCACGCCTGAAAACTCACTACTTCAACCTAGCTTATATAACATAATTATGACCATCACTTACATCTGCATTGTTTAAAAATGGACTCCACAATTATCGACTTCCGTACTATTGAGGTTCTTTTTTAAATGTTTTTCTAATTTTTTATTCACCCTGTGTCTTATTGATTTTTAGCTGTTAGTTTTGGGAATTTTGTTGTATTTCCTTTGTATCTTTTATCTGTGTTCGACATGTTTGTATAACGCCGGTTTAATTAACATTTTTAGTGTACAGCGCCTTGTTTGGTTGTAATGCCTTGTGAATGCGCTTTATAAATAAAATTGGATTGGATCTGTTGCTGCATCTGCTGCTGCTGCTGCTGCTTAATCTGCTGCTGCTTCATCTGCTGCTGCTGCTGCATCTGCTGCTGCTGCTTAATCTGCTGCTGCTGCTGCTTAATCTGCTGCTGCTTAATCTGCTGCTGCTGCTTAATCTGCTGCTGCTTCATCTGCTGCTGCTTCATCTGCTGCTGCTGCTTCATCTGCTGCTGCTGCTTCATCTGCTGCTGCTGCTTCATCTGCTGCTGCTGCTTCATCTGCTGCTGCTGCTTAATCTGTTGCTTCATCTACTGCTGCTTAATCTGTTGCTTCATCTGATGCTGCTGCTTAATCTGTTGTTTCATCTACTGCTGCGTAATCTGTTGCTTCATCTACTGCTGCTTAATCTGCTGCTGCTGCTTAATCTGTTGCTTCATCTACTGCTGCTTAATCTGCTGCTGCTGCTTCATCTGCTGTTGCTTCATCTACTGCTGCTTAATCTGTTGCTTAATCTGCTGCTGCTTAATCTGTTGCTTCATCTACTGCCGCTTCATCTGCTGCTGCTGCTTAATCTGTTGCTTCATCTGATGCTGCTTCATCTGCTGCTGCTGCTTCATCTGCTGCTGCTGCTTAATCTGCTGCTGCTGCTTAATCTGCTGCTGCTTAATCTGTTGCTTCATCTACTGTTGCTTAATCTGCTGTTGCTGCTTAATCTGTTGCTTCATCTACTGCTGCTTCATCTGCTGCTGCTGCTTCATCTCCACTGGTTGCCCGTGCAGTTCAGGATAAACTTCAAAATTATGCTTCTCACTTACAAATCCTTGAACCATCAAGCTCCTCCATATCTGTGTGAACTTGTCCATTACTACAACCCGCCGCGTGCTCTCAGGTCTGAAGATAAGCTCCTCCTAGCTGTTCCGAATGCACGTTTAAAAAGCCGTGGAGAAAGGGCTTTCTCTGTCTGTGCACCCAAGCTGTGGAACGCATTACCACTGCTAGTGAGGCTAGCACCAACAGCTAGCATTTTTAAATCACGCCTGAAAACTCACTACTTCAACCTAGCTTATATAACATGATTATGACCATCACTTACATCTGCACTGTTTAAAAATGGACTCCACAATTATCGACTTCCGTATTATTGAGGTTCTTTTTTAAATGTTTTTCTAATTTTTTATTCTCCCTGTGTCTTATTGATTTTTAGCTGTTAGTTTTGGGAATTTTGTTGTATTTCCTTTGTATCTTTTATCTGTGTTCGACATGTTTGTATAACGCCGGTTTAATTAACATTTTTAGTGTACAGCGCCTTGTTTGGTTGTAATGCCTTGTGAATGCGCTTTATAAATAAAATTGGATTGGATCTGTTGCTTAATCTGCTGCTGCTTCATCTGCTGCTGCTTCATCTGCTGCTGCTGCTTCATCTGCTGCTGCTTCATCTGCTGCTGCTGCTTAATCTGCTGCTGCTTCATCTGCTGCTGCTGCTTAATCTGCTGCTGCTTCATCTGCTGCTGCTGCTTAATCTGCTGCTGCTTCATCTGCTGCTGCTGCTTAATCTGCTGCTGCTTCATCTGCTGCTGCTGCTTAATCTGCTGCTGCTTCATCTGCTGCTGCTTCATCTGCTGCTGCTGCTTCATCTGCTGCTGCTGCTTCATCTGCTGCTGCTGCTTCATCTGCTGCTGCTGCTTCATCTGCTGCTGCTGCTTAATCTGCTGCTGCTGCTTCATCTGCTGCTGCTGCTTCATCTGCTGCTGCTGCTTCATCTGCTGCTGCTGCTTCATCTGCTGCTGCTGCTTCATCTGCTGCTGCTGCTTCATCTGCTGCTGCTGCTTCATCTGCTGCTGCTGCTTAATCTGCTGCTGCTGCTTCATCTGCTGCTGCTGCTTCATCTGCTGCTGCTGCTTACCCCGGGTTTCCACGGGAGCCGTCAGCAGCACGTCTTGCTCGCGTAAGCTGCTGCTTGGCCCTTCCCACGAGACGCGAAGCAGCAGGGGAGCAGCTGTCACCGACCGAGCACGAAGTCACACGAGTGACTTCGTCAGTAAACACAACAACAAGCAGGAGAAAACTACAACATGACTCCAAAATATTTGTGTTTTTATGTTCTGTCCGTTTTATAATCGCCAATACGGACCTGAAAAACAAAGGAGACCGCTAGCTAGGTGATAACTTCTCACGGGGACGCACAGTTAGTAACCTTTTTTAAAGTAAAGCAACCGGAAGGCAGCACGTTCTTTATTCTGAAAATCTCGGGAGCTTCTCTCCATTTCCGCGTCCGATTTCCTGTCTTTCCTTCCCCAAAAATGTCGAACTTGACACGTTTCAGAGGCGTCGCGCGTAGAAAATAGAACCGGCGTGTAAAGGCCGCGACATGCTGCTCCTGAGACGCGGCCGACTCGCGCTGCTGACGGCTCCGGTGGAAAGCCGGGGTTAATCTGCTGCTGCTGCTTCATCTGCTGCTGCTGCTTAATCTACCACTGCTGCTTAATCTGCTGCTGCTGCTTAATCTGCTGCTGCTGCTTAATCTACCACTGCTGCTTAATCTGCTGCTGCTGCTTAATCTGCTGCTGCTTCATCTGCTGCTGCTGCTTAATCTGCTGCTGCTGCTTCATCTGCTGCTGCTGCTTAATCTGCTGCTGCTTCATCTGCTGCTGCTGCTTAATCTGCTGCTGCTGCTTCATCTGCTGCTGCTGCTTCATCTGCTGCTGCTTCATCTGCTGCTGCTGCTTAATCTGCTGCTGCTTCATCTACCACTGCTGCTTAATCTGCTGCTGCTGCTTCATCTGCTGCTGCTGCTTAATCTACCACTGCTGCTTAATCTGCTGCTGCTGCTTCATCTGCTGCTGCTTCATCTGCTGCTGCTGCTTAATCTGCTGCTGCTGCTTCATCTGCTGCTGCTTCATCTGCTGCTGCTTAATCTGCTGCTGCTGCTTCATCTGCTGCTGCTTCATCTGCTGCTGCTGCTTAATCTGCTGCTGCTGCTTCATCTGCTGCTGCTTCATCTACCACTGCTGCTTAATCTGCTGCTGCTGCTTCATCTGCTGCTGCTTCATCTGCTGCTGCTTAATCTGCTGCTGCTGCTTAATCTGCTGCTGCTGTTGTTTTTAGATTAAAGACGGGACCTTTTGGTCCAAGGTCCATCCATAGTTGTGAACATCATACTTTATTTCAGAGGAGAACTCAAAGAACAAAGCTGGAGTAGCTCCGGTTCTGGTTCTGAGAGCTGATACTGATAGAGGAACTAATCAGAACATTCTTCTTGGGGCCTCCCAGCAGGCCCTGACCGGGTCAAAGTTCTGCTAGAACCTGCTCATATCTGTGTTCTGTTGTAGACCCGGACCATGTCCCTGCTCACCCACCTGTTGGCGTGTCTCTTTGGTACCGGCTCCTGGGTCTCCATCAATGGGCTGTGGGTGGAGCTGCCTCTCCTGGTACCTCAGGTACCAGAGGGGTGGTTCCTGCCGTCCTACCTGTCTGTGCTGATCCAGGCGGCCAACGTCGGACCGGTCTTCGTCACGATGATGCATCGGTTCCGGCCCGGTGTCCTGAACGAGACAGTGGTGATCTATCTGATCATGGTCCTGGGCACCGGAGCCAGTTTCCTGCTGGGTTTCTTCTGGAAGGAGACGGTTCTGGTGAGAGGTGTTCCTCACAGCGTGGCTCTGCTGGTTCTGACCTTCTTCCTGGCCGTGGTGGACTGCACCTCCTCCGTCACCTTCCTGCCCTTCATGATGCGGCTCCCACCTCAGTATCTCACCACCTACTTCATTGGGGAGGGCCTGAGCGGCCTGCTGCCGGCGCTGGTGGCGCTGGTCCAGGGGGTCGGGGTGGTGCACTGCATCAGTGGACCGCAGCTCCAGAACCAGACCTTCAACACCTCCAATGGTTCTGCAGCCTTGGAGCTGCAGGCTCAGTACCAGCCTGCCAGCTTCTCTCCTGATGTCTTCTTCTTCTTCCTCAGCGCCATGATGCTCGTGAGCCTGCTGGCCTTCCTGCTGCTGAAGCGCCGCCCGTCCTCGGCCCGGCAGAACCCCGAAGCCCGCTACACCAACGGCGTCAAGGAGAATGATCTGGACCGCAGACGCAGAGCCGAGCAGAGGTCCATGATGGATCCGTACAGGAGCCAGAACCACAAACGCAAAAGCAGCTTTGGTACCGGCGCCTACAGCTGGAAGCAGGTGTTCTACATCTTTGTGGTTCTGGGCTGGGTCAACGCCCTGAGCAACACGGTTCTGCCCTCGGTCCAGTCCTACTCCTGCCTGCCGTACGGAAACAAGGCCTACCACCTCTCAGCGGTTCTGGCCGCCGTGTCCAACCCACTGGCCTGCTGCGTCGCCATGTTCCTCCCCATCAGGTCCAGAACCAGTACAGAACACACCAGAACCCACACCAGTACAAAACCAACCAGAACCCACACCAGTACAGAACCAACCAGAACCTAAATCAGTACAGAACCCACACCAGAACCCACACCAGTACAGAACCAACCAGAACCCACACCAGTGCAGAACCAACCAGAACCCAAAACAGTACAGAACCAACCAGAACCCACACCAGTACAAAACCAACCAGAACCCACACCAGTGCAGAACCAACCAGAACCCAAAACAGTACAGAACCCACACCAGAACCCACACCAGTACAGAACCAACCAGAACCCACACCAGTACAGAACCTAAACCAGTACAGAACCCACACCAGTACAGAACCAACCAGAACCCAGTGCACATTCTCCAACTGTCATTCTACATTTCGGCCCATTTCAGGTTCTGGAGCAGAGACGTCCTGATTTAAAGTTCTAAGGGAAACAGAAGCGGGTCTCGACCCGTTCTGTAGCTTCAGCTGTCAGAACCTTCATCGTAAACATGAACTCACTTTCTCTGCGCTGAGGCTGTTCGGGAAGCTGCCATTTTTGTTTCTCCTGCTTTGACGCGTGACCTTTGACCCTGCAGGTCTCTGGTGTTCCTGGGAGCTGTGACGGTGGGGGGCAGCGCAGCGGGAGCGTTCATCATGGCCATGGCGGTGCTGAGTCCGTGTCCTCTGCTGGTCCAGGAGGCGTCTGGTTCTGCCGTCATCGTGAGTTCGTTCAGGCTAAATGTGAGTTCTAGCAGAACCGAGTGAGATGGGTTTGGGTCTCCTCCACCCTTTAGGTGCTGGCCTGGATCTTCTTCATCCTCTCGCTCTCCTACGTGAAGGTGATCATCGGGGTGATCCTGAGAGATGAAGGCCACAGCGCCCTCGTGTGGTGTGGAGCAGTGGTGCAGCTGGGCTCCCTGCTGGGAGCCGTCACCATGTTCCCTCTGGTCAGCGTCTACAGCTTCTTCTCCTCAGGTGACCCCTGCAACACCTGGTGTCCCTGAGGAGAACCCCTCCGCTCCTGGTGGAGACTGACGGGGAGCCGAGCTGCTGCTCAGCATCGACCCACGCAGGCTTCTCTAAATCTGACGCTTTAAACCGAAGCTTGTGTCGTTTTCATGTCATTCAGAGCAAAGTGGGTGGAGCTTATTCCGAATAAAAGAAAAACCAAAAGCAGACGTTGTTGTTTTACCGGAGCTGACTTTTCATCTTTATTCAGATTTGACTTAAAGACTAAAGATTCTCATGTTTAAAATCTCATCTGTCATCCTGATGCATTTATTACTTTATTCAGCCGCTGGCCTCTTGCAGAAGGGGGGCAGCCCCCCCTGGGTGGACAGGTAGAACATGGGGTGGACCACGCTGGCGGCAGACAGAACCAGGAAGCAGACCGGCGTGAGCCAGCACTGGAAGGTCTGCCGAGCTAGAAGCTTGAACTCCAGCAGCAGCGCTACGGGGATGTAGCAGAGCAGGTTGAGAGCGGTGGTGGCGCAGACGGTTCTGAAGGCCTTCCTCTTGAGTGGGTGGAGCTCGTCCCTTCCTGGACCAGACCTCCTGAGGGCGCGGGCGATGCTGATGCTGCCCCACACCATCAGCTTGGTCATCAGTAGCATCACGCCTAAGGGGACGGCGCTCATCAGCCACTCGGTGGAGGGGCTGTTGTTGGTGAGGATGGTTACCATGGCAGCACACAGAGAAGACACCCAGACCGTGACGGCGCCGACCTCCCTGCACCTGTACCTCCTCAGCAGGGGGTAAGAGGTGGGCCGGATCACAGCCACATACCTCTCCAAGCAGATGAAACACAAACTCATCGGCCCTCCGATCTGGGCGTACACCAGCAGGAGCTGCAGCAGCCGCTGCGCCCGGTGCTGCCAAGACAACAAGAAGATGAAGTGGAGGATGCAGACCAGGTACAGGAAGTTGTGGAAAAGAGCTAAATTACAGTTCAGGATGTCCACGGACTTCCTGGAGGTGAAAGTGATACAGAGCAGCGTGGCGGTGACGGGTTGGCCGACGGTGAAGGTGAAAGCGTTGACCAGAGCCAGAGAGGTGATGTAACCGCGGTCAGACCTACAGACCTCATCTCCATCAGCTGAGCCGGAGACGTTGGTCAGCATCTCCGTCTGGAACACCATCACAACATTCTTAATCCCAACCCAGAATTACTTTACATCAGCTTAAAGCTTCTCTCCGGAGTATTTCTCTTATCCGATGGCACCACCTAGTGGCCGATCAGCATATCACACAACAACTCTGTTGCTCTGTTTAAGATGGCGTCGTCATTAGGGATGGGTACCGAATTCGGTACTTTTTAAGGTACCGATCGAATTCCATAGTACCAACCGAGCACCGATTCACGTCGTTTCAAACGGTGCCTCGTTTCGGTACCCGTCCTTCATAACGAGAACTTGCCTGGACAGCTGTGCATGCGCAAGAGCGTTATGTCGTCGGTCGCTGCGAGCCAGTTGTAAACAGAGCAGCATGGTAGAAAGAACGCACGCTAACGCTTGGGTCCACTTCACTAAATGTGATGGGTAACTGGGTGATGATGAAACCAGCGACAACGATCTAAGTGAGACATCCTCATCTTAATCTGCTCCGGTAGGTAAATAAAATGTTTAAGATAACGTTAGCTTGATATGTTAGCTTCCGTTCCACTAATGGTGCGTTCGCTTTCTCCTCGGAACTCAGAATTTCCGACTAGAAGAACATGAACGCGCTCTAAAGTTTGGCTTCACTTTACTAAATGCGACGGGTGATTGGGTGAAGATGAAACCAGCGACAACGATCTAAGTGTGAGGCATCATCGTTTTAATCTGCTCCAGCAGCTAAATAAACTGTTAAAGATAATGTTAGCTTGATATGTTAGCTTCCATTGCCACCGTTGTTATCAGCTAATGGTGCGTTTGCTTTCTCCTCGGAAATTCTAACTTCCCAGTAGGAAAAATCAAATGAAAAAGGACGGCAAAAGGAATGAAGATACACAGTAAATTTAGTTCACAGTAAAGATGTTTGCTTCAGATTAATTATCAGCTTATAAAACTACAAGGACGATGTTAAAATACAAACAGTTGTATGTTATTTATCGTGATATTTATCAAATATTGTTATATATTGAGAAAAATATATATTTAATTATAAAAGAGAATTAAAATAATGAACACTCAAAAGTATCTAAAATTGGTACCGTTAAGTACCGGTATCGACTCGTAGGTACCAGGAGTTGGTACCGGATCGATTCAAATGTCAAAGGTACCCATCCCTAGCATCACGTTTCTGTTTATAAGCGTGCTTCTGTAGCGACAAACAGCTAAAACACATCGTTTACGAATATTCTCACGGCATGTTGTGTTCTCATACACCGACATTTTAGAGACCTACTTGTCATCAACTCTGAATCAGCCGAGGAATTCTTTAAACCTGAAGCAGGTAAGCAGTAGCCTAACGCTGTTGGTAGTTCTGGTCGGTTTCCTGTTGCACCGAGCTCTGCGGGGCAGGGGGCGTGGCAGGGGGCGTGGTTAACAACAACCATAAAAAAAGACATATTGTTTACATTATGTCACAGTACCTGATGAGATCATCGCTTTTACGGATTTCTGAAAGGGGAAAACTCCGGAAAGCTGCTTTAAATGTCCTCAAATTAATAAATTTAAGTAATTAAATTAAATTCTTCTTTAAATAAACATTAACAAGTACACTTCAGCTGTTTCCCTACTTCACTTTTCTTTTATCACAAAAACATCTAATCACTAGTTAAATACAAACAACAACAAGGTGTCCTTACCGACCGTGTTCAGCTGCTGCTGCAGACCAGCAGATCAGGTCCATCACACCTGATTTACCTAAAACATGACGGATGAAAAAACAACAACACACTCCTGATTTCCATAACAGCAAAGAGGTGGAAACGGATCAGAACCACCAGAACCTTCGGCACTTTCATTCCTGATGTGGATTATCTGATCCAGAAGCATCAGACAGATGAAGAGGATTTTATTGACAAAAAGAAAAAAACAGACATAAATACAGAAATAGAACAGAAGCTGTTTGATAAACATAAACAAGCCAGGAGAATAAATACAAACAATATAAAAACAAGCAGTTACAGCGTGGGGGGGGGGGGGGGGGGTTAGATTATTTCATCACAATCATAAAAAAATCTCCAACTCTGCAGCCTGGAAAACAATCTGAGGCTCCTCCGAGTTAAACGTTTGATTCTTTAGGACAAAATAAAAAGATGAGTCTGAAAGTTTTCTGGTCGGAGTTTCGGAGATTTTCATCGTTAAAGCAACAAAGTTTGTTTTGTTTTGTTGGAATTCTTAAAAGTGAGAGAGTTCCGAACTCATGGATGCAAATCAGAGAAAACAGACTGATCATTTAAACCTGCTGCAGACACACAACCCTGCTGCTGCTGCTGCAGACACACAACCCTGCTGCTGCTGCAGACACACAACCCTGCTGCTGCTGCAGACACACAACCCTGCAGCTGCAGCTGCAGACACACAACCCTGCAGCTGCAGACACACAACCCTGCTGCTGCTGCAGACACACAACCCTGCAGCTGCTGCAGACACACAACCCTGCTGCTGCTGCAGACACACAACCCTGCTGCAGCTGCAGACATACAACCCTGCTGCAGCTGCAGACACACAACCCTGCTGCTGCTGCAGACACACAACCCTGCAGCTGCTGCAGACACACAACCCTGCAGCTGCAGCTGCAGACACACAACCCTGCAGCTGCAGACACACAACCCTGCTGCTGCTGCAGACACACAACCCTGCAGCTGCTGCAGACACACAACCCTGCTGCTGCTGCTGCAGACACACAACCCTGCTGCAGCTGCAGACATACAACCCTGCTGCAGCTGCAGACACACAACCCTGCAGCTGCTGCAGACACACAACCCTGCTGCTGCTGCTGCAGACACACAACCCTGCTGCTGCTGCTGCAGACACACAACCCTGCTGCTGCTGCAGACACACAACCCTGCTGCAGCTGCTGCAGACACACAACCCTGCTGCTGCAGCTGCAGACAGACAACCCTGCTGCTGCAGCTGCAGACACACAACCCTGCTGCTGCTACAGACACACAACCCTGCTGCTGCTGCAGCTGCAGACACACAACCCTGCTGCTGCTGCAGACACACAACCCTGCAGCTGCTGCAGACACACAACCCTGCTGCTGCTGCTGCAGACACACAACCCTGCTACAGCTGCAGACATACAACCCTGCTGTTGCTGCTGCTGCAGACACACAACCCTGCTGCTGCTTTAGACACACAACCCTGCAGCTGCTGCAGACACACAACCCTGCTGCTGCTGCTGCAGACACACAACCCTGCAGCTGCTGCAGACACACAACCCTGCTGCTGCTGCAGACACACAACCCTGCAGCTGCTGCAGACACACAACCCTGCTGCTGCTGCAGACACACAACCCTGCTGCAGCTGCAGACATACAACCCTGCTGCAGCTGCAGACACACAACCCTGCAGCTGCTGCAGACACACAACCCTGCTGCTGCTGCTGCAGACACACAACCCTGCTGCTGCTGCAGACACACAACCCTGCAGCTGCTGCAGACACACAACCCTGCTGCTGCTGCTGCAGACACACAACCCTGCTGCTTTAGACACACAACCCTGCTGCTGCAGCAGACATACAACCCTGCTGCAGGATCTCGATGGCAGAAGCTAACTCTGAGCTCTTTCACATTTGAAACTTGGTGCAGGTGGTTTTTCAGGTTCTGAATCAGCTGTTTGCAGGTGAAATCCTACTTGTTTATTAAACGCTCCCAGAGTTGACTGATCTGTTCAAATAAATGTAATCAAATGTAAACAATTTTAACGTTAAACAAAATATTTACACTGAAATCATCTGAAAGCTCCAGAGATCGGTTCTTTGTTTAGTCACTGATAAAAAATAAAGTATTTCACCTTCAGTGATTCTGTTAAAGTTAATCTGATTGGTCTGTCTGCAAGGCTCCTTCTAATTCAGAGTTTGTGTTTATTAGCAATGATGTCATAAACCGAACCTGCATTCTATCAAGTAGCCAGCAGGGGGCGCGCCCCGGCCTCTGTTCATCTGTGACACATGATTTGTTTTTTATCATTTTTGAGAACAAATGTGAACAAATCCTGGAGGCGGAGCTACACTGTGATTGACAGGCTTCTGGTCTTGCGTTAAAAAACCAACATTTTAATAATCAGTTCAACATAAACAGGTGTTATTGTTTTTGTTGTTGTTGCTACTTTAATCTGGTTTCATCTTTTGCTTCTCGTAAATAAATAAATGTAACCTTTCCTTTCAGAAGTGGGAAAACGTTCCCGTAGATCCTCAGACCGGGTTCTGGTTTTGCTCCAGGTCGGCCCTGATTGGCCGTTTCTCTGATGTTTCTTTGGCTTTTGAATGTAAACACGGTCAGAAAGTTGTTCTGCGCTGCAGAATCCATTAAGAACAAATAAATAACAGATTAGAAATGGAGGCTAAAACCAGAAATTACAGATTAAAGTTCCATGTTAGAGTTTGGCTCCAGTTTTCTTTACTTTCATAGCAGAATCCGAGTTGTGAAACACCTAAAAGTTGTTTGACTTTCACTAAAAACCAAACCGATTGTCTGAAACTCGACGTGTAAACTCAGAACTCCGTTAGTCTCAAAGAAACTCGTTTAGTTTTCCAGTCAAAAAGGCACTTTTCTCTATAAACAGCTGGATCTGGAGCTAAAGTCAGCTGATTGAATATTATATAAACATCTGGCAGGCACTGGTCCTCGCCGAGGGGCGGAGCCCTCGCTGAAGGGCGGAGCAACACATCCTTCCCCTGGATTGTTTTTACATAAAAGGCGTGGTTAA